TTTTCACGATTTTTGGAATTGCTCGTTCCCTTTCGAAACAATTAATTAATAAATGCTCAATTGCTCGAATAAATCGTAAATATGTTTTAGAAAAATAAAACAAATCAGTTTTTGATATTTGAAGTAATTCCCATTCTTCTAAATTAACATGCTGAGAAAAGGAAGGCAAAAACATTTCCAAATGATTTGATTGTAAAAAATCGGCAGCCTCTTAAAAATTAAAAAATTTAAGCTTAGAAAAAGGCCAGCCCTTTTATAGTATGATAAAATTTTTAAACAAAACAATCAACCTAAATCCCGATTTTATTAAAATAAAAATGGCTTTTGGAATATTACAAAAATAAATTTAGAAGTCCATGAAAAGTTTAGCAAAAAAAATAAAGCATATAAAGGGATATTCTATGCGGATGGCCTCCTAACATTGTCAGTTAATTAAAAAAAAGACATAAAAATCATTAAAAAACCTGTTAACAGATGTATAACTGATTCCATACTAAAAACAAATTAAATTTAGAAAAAATTAATTAAATTAATCAATTTACCCAACAATATCACGATTATCAAGAGAAGCTTTCAATTTATTTGCCAACAATTCAACAGTTTCTTTTGGTGCAATTTGAATAGAATTAATACAAACATCACTTCTTTCAAAATTTCTATATTTTTCGAATTTTTCAAAATTTTCTTTATTTAAAGAATTTATTTGTTCTGAATAAATAAATTTTGTAGAAACAGCTTCTAATAATTGTAAATATATTTTTATTGATTGCTTTTTTAAAATTAATTTATTTGAACTCCAACTAAAACTTTCATCCAATTGAAGTAATTCTTCTCTTAAAGAACGCCACCAAGGTTCAGGTAAGTCAGAAATACATTCTTGAATTGGATATAGTCCAGGATATGTTGAAATGTACAAAAAGAAAGAACAAAGTTTTCTTTAAAAAATTTTTTTAGAAAAAAATGAAAATATTTCAGTCAATTAAAGGGGTAAGATGACAAAATTTTGTTAAGAGAGCTTCATTCTGGAATTTATTTTTTTAAACTATTTTTGTAAAAAACCCTCTTCGATACAATTATTGCAGGAGAATAAATTAAACGTACCATTCTCACAGGGTTGAGCTGGATCTAGACCAAGGCCTGGGTTTTTCCTGTACCCAGAGTTCAGACTCAGGCATTTTTAGACCTTCCTGAGTTTGTCCTGGACTAAAGCCAGTATCCGGTCCAGGTCAATAAATCAAACCAGAACCCAGGAACAGGCCCAGGCTTTTCAAAAATCTCAATCTCTAATTTCTCACCCCAAAATTGAAACTACTGAGATTGCTAGGACAAGTGTTTGGGATTATTCGTGACATGAGATCATACAGATAAAGTCCCAAATCAAAAAACTTTCTTTTAGAAAGGTTTAACTTCAAAAAAAACTTACGAATAAACTTCAACAACCAATTGCTCATTGAAATTTTTACAAACAAAATCAACAATATTTTTTGCATATTCATGTCCAAATTCAACAATTGTACAAATTAAAGGTGTTAAATCTTCCATTTTTTCCATTAATTGTTCAGATCCAATTTGTGAAAAGTCCAATTCCATTAAAATTTGAGGTAAAATAATTTGAGTTAATGCACTAATTAATTGCCACAAAAGACGAGGTAAATTTCTCAATTCATCATTTGATTTGATTGTATCAAGAATTCGAGTTAAACCCAAGCTGAAAAAATTATAAAATAGGAATATTAAAATATTGAGGAAATTTTTCAATTTTTGAAGTTTTAAATCGCCTCAAAAAATTCAAATAATGTTCCTAATGGAGGAAAAAGCTGTTTGACAACCGGCAGTATGCCTTTGTCTTGTTCATACATAACTAAACTAATAAGAAGCAGAATCAACTTCAATATTTCTGCATCAATAATGCGACTAGTTAGAAGTTTGTCTGTTGGCCCAATTTAAATTGGCAAAAATTATAGGACAAAAAATATTCCAATTAAAACCTTCCCACTCTATCAAAAAATATTTAAATTAAAAATTCAACTTACCAGTCATTACTAATATTATTAAATAAAGCATCGAAAACAGGAAGAAAATCTAGCAAATTAGCCCCAGGTAATTTCAGCCATCCTTCAATACATTCAACAGCAGCATTTCGTACAGAACAAGACAAATCATTATCTCCCAAGACTTGCTGAACTAATTTAACTATTTCCTTTAAATATTTTTTAAATTGAAATTAAAAAATAATTTTGAAAAAACCTTCGTCGATTTTTGTAGTTCTGTCTTAATACTTTGGCGGTGATCTAAAGAGACATTGAGGTGATGAAATTCAGTTGAAATTTCAGCTAGAACTCTAAAAAATTATTTTTAAGACAAAACAAATTTTAAAATAATGGCTTATGTTAGAAGTAAAATTTTTTTGGATTTCTAATATAAGATTTTCAGGAATTTAGGCAAAGATAGAGTATTAAAGGTGAAGTTAAGGATTTTTTAATGCAAACAGCGGGTTTTATAAAAAAAATTTTTAATTGATGAAAGGAAATTAGAAAAAAACTATGCATTAGAGAATTTACAAAATTTTTAAAATCATTCAGGGAATCTAAAAACTTTCACAAGGTAAATTGCAATTTTCGAAAAATTTTTTTAAAAGATTAATAGTTTAATTTAAAAAAAACCTTAAAAGCAATTCAATTTGACAAGACCAAAATAATTGTAATTCGCTAATTGGATCATTCCAAATATCTGGTAAACATTTCAAAATAAAAAGTGCCAATCCAGCAGAAAGTTTATTTAAAACAGAATGGGCCAAAGAATGAGCACTTGAAGACAGTTTTTGAAGAAAAAATGTTTTTAATTCATCTGACTAAAAATTTAGAAAAAAAATTTATTTAAAAATAATTTTAGCAAACATTTTCAACGCTTTCAAGAATTTCATCAAATTTTTTAGAAATAACAAAGTAGAGAGTTTCTGCACCAAAAAATTGAACATTTACAGGATTAGAATTGTCGATGATGGAAACTTAAATAAAAATTTTTTTAATAGATTAAATACGAGTAGAAGTTAAGGAACAGAATTCAAATAAAATCTAACAAGGAAATGTTGCGAGGTGTCCGACCTAAAAACGATCAAGACCGGCTCATTCGATAGAAAATAGCCCTTTATCTGGTCAAGATATTTAATTAGGAAACCTCGCAATCTTTCCTTGTAAGAGTAATCTCTTAGGAAAATAATCCTCCGTATGAAAAACTATAGCGAAAAATAAGAACTTAAAATTCAGTCACTTTCAACAAAAAATTCAAATAAACTTACTTGCTAAACGCCACGAGCCTTTACCTAAAAAATTAAATTTAATAACAAAATCAGGCAAATTAAAAAATACTTTGACGAAAATTCTCCAAAATATTGCCCAATTCTCTTCTAGAGGGTTCAGAAGTGGTTTCATAGAAGTTTGTTATACTTGTCACCAATAATTTAGTTTGATGATCCATCCTAATTAAATATACAATTAAGAATTAAAATTAAAAGAATATATATAATCAGAAAAAAATAATCTTTAGAAAGCAAAAAATTTTTTTATAAAATTTTATTTAATAAAAATACAAAATGCTTAAAACTTAAAAACGAGTTATGTACAAAATAGCATCAAAAATTTTTTGTAAATCGATTTAAGGTTCTTCAATTTTAGCAAGATTCAGGCAACAAAATAAAACCAGCGATCGTGAATTGTTCCTATCTTAAAATAAAAAATTACTCTCTTAAATACGAATGTCTAATGGGATCCAAGAAAAAAAAGATTTGTCTGCAAATGTCGGACAAAAAGTGCGGTATCCCACCCATCGGTATCATACCCCAAAGTCAACTAAAAATTAAAAACCTCATTTATTTTTCTCCAAATCTCTCCCATTTGTATTTTCCACATAAATAGCATAATCACTTCTTTTATGGTCCTCTCCTTCAGGAGACATTTTTTCAACATTCAATCCTTCCATCACAACTTTAGCAAATGCAACTTTCAAACATTTATTGACATCTTTTGCTCCAACATAGAAAAAGTCAACATACCCTTCCTTAGGAAGGGGAGTTTTATCTTCAACTAGAAAATATTTAAATTAACCTATTCTATTTGACTTACTAAAAAGATCTTTGGACATGAGAAAAAAATAAAAATTAATTTTAAAGCTAAAAATAAATTTGTAATTTTGTAAAGAAAATAAAAAAAATATTTAGATCGTAAAGAATACATTTTAAACAAAAATAAATAGTGATAATATTGAACCGGACAGACCCCTTTTTCCTCCTCATTTTCCCCTATATTTTTTGTAAAATGGTCAGACTTTTTCCTTCTTTCATCCAAATTGCCTTTCTAATTTTTGCATACAAAAAGGTTTATTTAATTCTATACAAGTGCAAGTACATGCCAAAAACTGAGAAAATAAGCCTTCTAAAAAAAACAATTTGGAAGGAGGAAAGGAAAAAGTCTGACCATTTTGCAAGAAATATAGGGGAAAAATGGGGAATGGAGACTTTTTCCTTTCCTCCTTCCAAATTGCTTTTTTTAGAAGGCTTATTTTCTCAGTTTTTGGCATGTACTTGCACTTGTATAGAATTAAATAAACCTTTTTGTATGCAAAAATTAGAAAGGCAATTTGGATGAAAGAAGGAAAAAGTCTGACCATTTTACAAAAAATATAGGGGAAAATGAGGAGGAAAAAGGGGTCTGTCCGGTTCAATATTATCACTATTTATTTTTGTTTAAAATGTATTCTTTACGATCTAAATATTTTTTTTATTTTCTTTACAAAATTACAAATTCATTTTTAGCTTTAAAATTAATTTAAATTTTTTCTCATGTCTAAAGATCTTTTTAGTAAGTCAAAATTTGGAAGGAGGAAAGGAAAAAGTCTGACCATTTTGCAAGAAATATAGGGGAAAAATGGGGAGGAAAAAAGGAGGTCTCTGTCCGGTTTAATATTACCTAAATCTTTTAAATTCCAAAAATTTATTTAAAAAATTAAAAACTCAATTGTTTATTAACATAAAAACGTTCGGTAGAACTTCCAACAATTTTACAATTTTTCATTAAAAATTCTTCTATTTTTGCCGGATCTAAACAATAATCCAAAAGATATGGTTGAATTTCCTCTTTCTTCCATTTTTCTTTTTTAGAGAAAAGAATTGACAATCTAAATGAAATTGGGAGTTTTTGAATAATTTAAAATAAATTTAATAACCGTTTTTGTAAATCTAAAGGCAAATCTGTTGAAATTAATTTATTTACAACTTTTCCTCGAAAATGAGAATTTTCAACAATTCCAAGTCCAGATAAATATTCCTCTTTGAAATAAAGCTGATTTGGTAATAAATTATTTATTTTTAATTCAAAATCTTCAAAATCCAAAGGTTTGTCAGGCAATGAACGAAGAAGATTTTCAATGTAAATTTTTGATATTTTAGATTCATTAAAAGAATATTTGCCATCAACTTACAAAAAAAGATATTATTAATGAAATTAAATGCAAAAATAGAACAGAAAATTATTTGATAAGTTAATGTTAAAAACTGACCGTCTACGAATTTTCTGGATATTTTACCAAAAATTTTACCCCTTTCGATCTTAACGGAACATATGTAAGTACTCCCAAAAAATATAAATTAAACCAAAAACCATTTTTATCACAAAAATTGTTCAAAACCCATTCAATTGTCTCCATCTGTATATTTTCCAAAGAAATACGTTGAAGCAGATCATCTTTTGAAAAGTAGGCAATTTCATCTTTACCAGCATTGTCAACAGCTTCAGCAATTTTATCAATAAACTTCAAAATATATTCGTTGCTTATCCAATAGAATTTTCCCTCTAAATTTAAAAAATAAATAAAAATAGACTAACAAGGAACCATCGTTTACTGTGACTGCGAATTTGATATATTTTTTGGTACCATTCGATAGAGGATCCTCGACTTAGTATCGTGGCGCTATCCGTTTTCTTGCAAAATTAGTTTGGGCCGAGTTATGGCCGTTCAAAGTTAGACGCTAGAGTCTGAAGTTATGGGGTAAATAAACATTTTCTCTCTTATTTTTCATCCTCAAAGAACCAAGCCACGCCCCTTCTCTTTATTTATAGTGTCTGACATTTTTCTCCCTTATTTTTTTCTTCGCGCCTCTTGCATTCTTTTTTCCTCTTTGTAAGACAATGTGAGGAAAGCAGAGAGAGTGGAAAAAAGTAACAGCGCACTTCTTTTAGCTTTTTTCATTATACTCAACCACTCCCATGGACTGAAACTTTGAACGGCCATAACTCGGCCCAAACTAATTTTGCAAGAAAACGGATAACGCCACGATACTAAGTCGAGAATCCTCTATCGAATGGTACCAAAAAATATACCAAATTCGCAGTCACAGTAAACGATGGTTCCTTGTAAGAAAGTTTAGAAAAAAAAACCAAGACAGGAAAAACCTTTAAAAATAGGAAAAGAAAAGTTAAGAAAAGATCAAAATTGGCGACCGAAGGATGAAAATTAAACAAAAAACTGGCATATTATTAAATTTGGCGTATAGTTTTGGTGTATAGTCTCCAAAAAACAAAATTTAACAACTAACAAAAAATGTCAAAAATAACCTAATTCAATAACAGGAAGTTCTGCCAATTTGTTGATTAATTCTTCTTCACTAGCTTGTATACAACACAAAATAGTTTCCAAAAAAATTCTAAAAATAAACATTTAAAAAATAAAAATTTCTAAAAAAATTACCCACAACTTGCAGAACATCCATCCTTTGTAAACATTTCAATTTTATGGTCATTAAATAATTCTTTCAATTTTTGAGTTAAATTTGGTCTAATACGTGAAGTTTCAAGAAATTTATTTGATACTGACACAATTTTCTTTAATATTTTAGATATTCTAAAAAATAAAATTAAATACCAAATTGTTTGAAATTGATAATTCTTCAGATATTTCCACTTCATTTAAGGCATCCTCTAAAATAAGCAAAGAATTTGAAACTTCAAGTTCTTTACAACAAAATGTTTCTGCTTTTGTACACAAAACAATTTCATCAGAATTGTATCCTCGTATATAAATTCTAAAATTAAATTTAAAAAAAAATTAAAAATTAAAAATATACTCATTTCCATTCAAAAAATAATTAGCCAAATTCTTATCCACTTCAGCAAAAATAAAATCATTTGAAGAAAAATGGGGCGAAAACAATAGTTGAACTGGAGAATTGTTTACTGGTGCAGTTATATTATCCATGAGAATATACTACGAAAATATAAAAAAATTTAAAGATAAAAATTTTAATAATTTTTCGGCGCAGCATGTTTTCGGCGTGAGCAACTATAACTTTGCTCAAGATTAATGAATCAAGCTGATTTTGGTGTTATTCGACTCATTCGACCTTCGCGAAAAAAACATGCTGCGCCGAAAAACTTGCGCCCAAACGTGGTGTACCGCAAAAAAGCTTTTTTTCTCTCTACCTCCATTTATTGAATGATATTTCACCATAACAAATTAAAAAGACTGTTTCAGTGCCAAAAAAGATTGTTAAAGCTAGGCTCATTTCGGTAAAAGATTTGGGAAAGTTGAGTGCGGCTGGTACGATCAAGAATACCAAACAAACACCCTTTAGGCTATAAACAAATTTCCTATAGGCAATATTTTCTTATAAGATTTGCGCCGTCTTGGGCTTTACCCTGCCGAGTTTCTAATTCTTTTACAGGTTTTTTTAATTTTTTTTTATTTTTAGAAATCAAATGCAATACAAGCAGTCGATAGCCTGGGTTCATTTTGAGCAGGAGATAGATTCATTAAATGTTTCTTGCAAAATATGTAATCAAGTGCTTATAAGAGGTGATAAATCAACAAAAGGTTTATGGAGTCATTTAATGCACAAACATCAAAATGAATATCTTTTATTACGAATTTCTCAAAGTGGAGTGCAAAATCAGGTTTTTTAATATTGAATTTTTAATAATATTTGAACCCCCAATGTAAAATAAGGTTGTCACCATTTATGCGTGTTCTTTTAGGGAAATTTGTCATTTTTTCTGGCTTGAATTAGAGATCGAGCTGTTCCTGGACCAAAGCCTGGGTTTTCCATTACCCTGAGTCCAGGTCCAGGCATTTTCTGACCTTCCTGGGGTTTTCCTGTATTTGGATTTTTCCTGTACTACAGGACCAGGATCCTCCTAGTCAATAAATCAAACTCTAAAGTTCAGGAACAGGTTCAGGCTTTTCAAACGTCTCAATCTCTAGTTTGAATTCCCCAAACTTATCACATCTAGAATACTCATCCTTGTGTTTCCTACTAAAATTTAATAATCTCATATTAATTTTAATAATTTAGGTTGTTTCCAATATTCCAAAGCAGGTTATTTTTTATTCTTTTTAAATTAATTCTAATGGTTTATAGGAGCGAAACGACGAATCAACTATTGATGTAGTAAACATTGATGGGCCCATTAACAATTCCTTGTCGCAAAGGTTTTTAATACAATTTTACTTAAAATATTTAATTTTTATTTTCTTTAGTACATCCCAAATTTCTAAAAAGAACCGCGAGAAATATTGTCACGCCGGTTATTCCTACATTAGAGACGGCCAAAACTCCACAGGTGAAAAAATGTTTTGGCGTTGTGACAGAAATCGCTCTATTGGTTGTAAAGGACGTGTTCACACTGCTGCTGATGCTGAACGGACATTCTTAAGTTTGGTCACTCCTCATGATGAATACTGCAATGGGGACAATATTTTAATAATTGGGGATCACAAAGTTTATTTTTTGTTTAAAAATTTGTTTTTTCGGCAAAGGACTAGTTGGGGATTTTCTAGAATTGACTTTAATTTTTAGAGAGCGAGAATTTCAATAAATCTTGATTTTGGTTGGGTACCTTGACCAGATTCTTGACCTTGAGTCAAGGAAAACTCAAGGTACTCTGAAAAATGCCTTGTTCTGGACTCTGGATCCAGGAAAAATCAAGTTCTGGTTCCAGATCCAGCTCGCTCTCTAATAATTTTGAAGTCTTTTCTATTTTTGCGAATATCAAATTGCTAATTAAATTTCGACTAATTTTTTTCATTGGCCAAAATTTTTGGATTTTTGTCTAAAAATTTTCTGGCTGGTGATCTTACATCAGTCAGATTCAAATCTCGAATTTTCCAAAATTATCCTTTGCCCTATATTTTTTGTTTTTTAATTTTTTTCATTTGTTTCTCTCCGATATGGTCATAGCCACCAGACATACTTAACTCATCACTTTAATATTTTAATATAATTTTTTAGAATGGCTTCATTTATTAAAACTAAAAGAGATTCAGATAAATTAGTTTTTGAAGGCCATACTTATTTTAAACACAGTACAGCCTCTCAAAACCGAATTTATTGGGGGTGTATTTTACGAAGAAAAATTAAATGTAGAGGTTTCGCTGTGACAGATGTAGACAATAAAGTAACAGTTACTAATCAACATTGTCATCCACAAACATATGACCCAGTAACTAATACTTCATCAACACATTTGGAAGGGGAAGAGGTGTTTTTATATTTATATTTATTTTTAAAAAATGAAAATTTTAAGGTCACGCTTCCGATTTTGGTGAGTTTGGGAAAAGTGACAGTGGTGGAGGGTATCTCATAGAGCTACAAAATCTGAAATAAATTATCTAAAATTTTATTAAAAATTATTAAAGTGATGAGTTAGGTAGTTTTTGTGTTTAGTCTTTTTTCATATTTTTTGTCCAAATCGGAGCGTGACCTTTTAAAAATTCTTTTATTCTAAAATATTTTTAAAAATTCTTTTAAGAACATTATCCGTGTGCGAACAAAAATTCCTACACAAAAAAGAAAACAAAGTCTCAAAGAAAATGATTTACAAACAAAACGTCTAAAATCTGAAGGAAATTTAATTAATGTTAAATCTGAATGGGAACACTCAACTTTTGATGATTTTGAACAACAGGTAAAATCTGAGTGAATTTTTTAAATTAAAAGGAAAAAATTTTAACTTGAAAAGAATTTTAAACAATTATAAGACTGCCCTTTTCAACACATTTTTATTTTTTTTTTATTTTTCACTTTTTGTACAATACAAAACAAACAAATATTTTATCTTTTCTCACTTGGTTAATTTTATTCATTTTATTTTCTCTTTACTTACAATTAACTAAAACTTTCTTCACTTCATTTTTATCTTATTTTAAAAGATTAAAAATGTGGAAATATTTTATTAGATTAAATTAAATCTTAAATTTTTTTCTTTAAAAAAACAATAATGAATTTAATTTTCAGTGTTCAACAACAACAATAGGCACATTAATGCAACAAATTCAACAAACAGAAATGGAACCCATGAATGCCCATCTTTTTGTTGAATTAATGGCTCAATTTTTTGGTCAGGGTTGGATGTTGGGAAGTTCTGGGGGAATGGCTGCAATTACTCAATCTTTGGGGAATGGAGAGGATGGGGGAGATTGTCTTTTACTTGTTTCCCCCTCTTCTGTCCCAAAAGAACGTTTAACAGAACAGGACCTTTTTGCTTTTGATTTAAAATGTATTCAAGAACGTTGTGATGATATTTGTTTATCTACAAATCCAATTTTTGGACCAACACATTTAAGGCCGAGTGCTTGTACTCCCCTATTTTTACTTTTGTTACAATCAACGCCTGGAACTAGTTGTGTTATTCATACACATTCAAAATATGCAAATTTGGGTTGGTTTTTTGTTAATTATTGTTGTTGGGTATTTGAGGGAGTTTTCTTTTTTCATCTCTGTTTCCGATACTTAGATTTTGTTAGAGTCAAGATTTTTGAGTTTACTTTAAAAATGTTCTATCAAGAACGATCAAGTAGCAATCCAAAACTTTTAAACAATCTCAGTATTTTATTTATTATCAATCCTTTACCCTTTAACTTCCCCAAGGGTCAAAGAGGAAACAAACACCCGTCAACTTCCCAATTCGTCTACTTTCGGAATAAATAGGGATATTACAAAAGAATGTTTTTAAGAAAACTCCTTTAAATTCTTCAAAAAATTATTATTTTCTAGTTACTGTCCTCTTTGCTCAACGCAATTGTCTAGAAATTACAAATCAAGAAATGCTTAAAGGTGTAATGGATCGACGCAATTGGCGTTCATTTCAAAATACTGACAAATTTATTCTTCCAATTGTTGAAAATAAACCACAAGAGCAGGATTTACTTGTAAGAGAGATTTTTGTTTGAAAAAAAATTAATTTTTTTTTTCAATTTTTTTAGCCAATTTTGAAAGAAGCAATAGACAAATATCCCCATTCCCCAGCATTTCTTGTTAGACGACACGGATTATTTGTTTTGGGTCCAAGTTGGCAAAAGACTAAAGTTATGCTGGAATGTTTAGAATATTTGTTAGAATTAATTTGGGAAATGGGAAAGGCGGGAATTGATGATATTTAAATTAATTTAATTTTTAATATTTTTTTTACTTTTTTTTATAGTAGAGATCGGTATTTTCAAAAATTCTGGATCTGGATTTAGATTAGTAGCCCGGACAGGATTCTTGATTTGGATACAGGAAAAATCCAGACAGGATCCAGATCCAGACCGATCTCTATTGATTAGTTAGAATAATATTTGTGCAGTTTAACGTTGAACAATAAAAATATATAATTTTATTTAATATTGAATAAAGCGAATTTTGGAGTTACCTATTTTAGTTGGCTTGCTCTTTCAAGAAAAATATTTTAACGAAAACTGTACAAGTACTCATTAATGGTATTAAAATGCTTGTCTATGAAATGCCTGGAGATTTTATATTTTCGATATTTTTTGTTTAAATTTTTCATTAATTAAATAGTTTATTTCCTTTTAATTAAATAATTTTATTTTTTCTCACTTTGTTCAGTCTGCGTGGGAGTAAAAGAAATAAAGTTTAGAGGGAGAGAGAGTAATTGAATGAAAGTAGAGGGAAATAAACCATTTAATTTTGAGAGATTCACAGCTGATTTATAAAATATAGAGAAGAAAGAAAAAATTTTTTTAGACCTGGAAAAAATATTGACGGGATTAAAAGCTTATTAAAAATATATACAGTTGCTAATTGTTAAATTGCCTAAAGGTTTTTAAATAAAAGCTAGAGAAATATAAAACAAAAGAATAATTTAAAAATTGTGTTTTATAAAAATATTTTGGAAGCTTGTTAGAGAGAAAATAAAAACAAATAAAGAAAAGCCTTGAAAGAATTTTATTGACGCTCAATCTAGTTAATAGCATTAGTCATTTGTTTAAGCTTTTAAAGGGTCCGAAAATCGACTCAATTTTTTGTTGTTGGTAGTCCTTTCAAGATTAAACGGCTGCTTAATTTTTGACTCAATTATTTTATTTTTACCATTTAAAAAATTTCTTGGATAGAATTACTTTTATAAAAGTTTTGAAAGTTTGTCATAATTGTGAATATTAAAGTACAAAAATTAAAATACAATTGCTTGCCTCTATTTTACGTACAAAATATACCACAATATTGTTCATAAGATTGGGGGAGATATGTATCTAAGCGTACCCTCTAAGATACATCTCATTATAGGATAAAAAATTTTCGGCCCTAATTAATTTAAAATAGTTTGGGGGTGTTTGAAAAATGGTGTTCAACTGCATTATATTTACAGTTACATAGAGAAATTTTTGTGAAGTAGTCCTTTCAAGATCAAACGACTGCTTAAAATAATTTATTATCTTTTTCTCACTCAAAAATACTTTAAAAAATTTTTCAAAATTTATTTTAGCAATGCCAGAAGAGGAGCACGGGAACAGTTCTGAAGAGGAGGAAGAAGAAGACGAGCCTGTGCCCGTTCGTCAACAACAAGTTCGAATGGTCGTTACGGATGCTTCTAGTGGTTATGGCCAAGAATCAACCACAGATGTATTGAATTATCTAAAAATTTTCCCCAAAATTTTTTTTCAAGTCCCCAATAGCTAAAACAGCCCCACAAGCAATTGTCACAACAACAAGTACAACAACAAAAGTTGCTGGCAACGAAGATGTATCTGAAGCCCAAGAGGCTGCTATTGAGGCGGCTCGTAAACGTCATCAAGAGGCTATAGAAAAAGCTAGAGCTGAGGCAATAAAAATGCAGGAAGAAGCGCGTGCTAGGGCAGAAGCTGCACGTCAACAGCAACAACAACAATTTCAAGAACAACAAAAATTGGCGAGTTTTTAAAGGGTTAAATGTTACCTTTATTATCTAAACTGAATATTTTACCTTCTTCCTTTCTGTAAATATTTTCAAAATTGAGTAGAGTAACGAATAAACGAGAATCAGCTTCTGTATGTATCAGTAGTCAAACAGTCATTTGCTTTTTCGAGTTATACGTTTGGGATCTCGTCTTGGTGTTTGTTCTTGCTTATCAGATCATCCCTCAGCCACTTTTAGATTTAGTGTTTTAAAGGACATGAGAATGGTTTGACTGAAAAGAGGTGAGAAGGTACTAGAGATCGGACCGAGACGAGACCCAAACAAAAATTCAGGTTACTGGGTTCGTTATTTTTCGACGGTCTCTATTCTCGTACAACCTTCCCAAACAATGTTTAGATTTTGTGGGAAATATTTTATTTTAATTCTTCAATATATTAGGCAGCGGAAGAGCAACGCCAACAACAAATAAAAGCTCAACAAGAAGCTGCTAAGCTTCAGGCTGAACAACGTGCTGCTCAATTAAAGGCACAACAAGAGGCTCAAAAAGCAGCTGCTGTTCAACAACAACAAGTAAAGGAAAAATTTTTACTTTTTTAAATTAATTTTAAAAAAATCCAAAATTAACCTCCACAAACAACCCTTTCTCTGTTTACTTTAATAAATTAAGAAGTAACAAAAAAATAAATTTTTCAAACTTTTACATCAAAATAAAAGTTTAACACTTATTAGAGAGAAAGTTTATTTTTGTTGTTTAGACTTTTAAAAGTTGAAAAGAGACAGACTTATTTTAAAAAAGTTAGTGACGAGAAATTTGTTAAATTAAAGAGAAGGATATTTTTTAGTATTTTTTCAATAATTTTTTTATATTTAAGTAAGTAATAATTTTAGAAAAAAAAATTTTTTTAATTGATTTAAAAATTCTTTGACAATAATTTTTTGATTTTTAAATAAATTTATGTCAAAATCCTTAAAAATCCTTATAACACCCCCAACTCCTCCCATTCTTTCCAAAAAACAGGTTCAGCAACAGCCCCAACAACAAAAAGTTTTAACTCCCCAACAACAACAAAGGCCTGCCCCTCCAACACCCACAACTCCAAAACCGGCTGTTCAAACTCCTCCTGCACAAGTAAGATAATAAAGGGATTTAAATTCGTTTATATGAACCTCTCTAATAGACGCCTATTTCATTCGCTAGTTAATTAAAAATTTTGAGGAGGCCTTCATTATGAAATCCCCTCTGTGTTGTAAACTTTTAATTTGATAATTTCCATTAGAGGCGTTCTATTAGAAAGTGGTGTTTTATTAAAAATTTAATTTTCTTTCAACTTTTTCAGTCTAAACCAGCTTCAGCACAACCTAAAGCAGCTGCTCCAGCTCCACCAAAAGCTGCTGCCCCCCAGCCAAAATCCCCAGCCCCGGCTCAACCAGCCAAAGCTCCAATTCAGCCAAAACCTGTCCAACCTCCAACAAAAACACCAATTCAACCGAAAGCAGCCCCACCCCCAACATCGCCTACCAAAACTCCAATAGCTTCAAATAACCCAACACGTCAAGCCCCTCCTTTGGCTAAAGAGCCAGAGCCTTTAGAACCACCAAAGCCTATTTTGGCACACGCACCTTTTCAACCAAAAAATCCAAAAGCAGAAAACCATTCTTGGCCGCCTCCTCAAGAAGAAGAAGATTTAAGTATTGAGGGGGGAAAAAGAAATAAAATTTTGGTAAAATAAAATTATTTTTTTAAAGATTATTTTAAAATTATTTTAAAATTTTGTAGCAAAAATTTAAGTAAATTAAATAGAGGTTTTTCTAATTTTTTAGAAAAAATTTTTCGAGTAAATATTTGGGTAAGGGAAGTATTTTTTGGATTGACTGTTAGTTCATTTGATCATTTGACTCTCGTTATATCCACTATAGGTGGGTATACATATTGTTTCCATAAATTCACTCAATGGAAAAAAATTCAAAATAACTAAACAAAGGATCTTTAGTTATTGGGGGCGTGGATGGGCGAAACTTCGTTTCGATTCGAAGAAATTTTTATTTTGTCCATCCCTGATTGGGGGATTTATCAAATATTCTGTTAGTATGTATAAAATATTTTCTTTAGATAATTTTAAAAAAATGTTTTTTAAGGATGACAATTCTTGGCAAGTACAAAAGCGAATTCAATTGGAATATCAACCTGTAAATTTATAATTTAAAAGAAAATTAGAAAAAAAAACAATTTTCTTAGATTCAGCCAACTAAAATTCAACCTCCAGAATTGGATTATGAAGGGGAAATTAAGGCAAATTTTTTTATTTTTTAATTTTTTTTTTCAAAATTTATTTTAAAGAGAACAATAGTTCCCCAACCTGCTGGTTATTCTAAAATACAATGGAATGAATTCCCTGAAGAGGAACAAAAGGTGGGGAGAGAGAGAGAGATTTTTGGGTAAAAAATATAAAAAAAAGTTTTGTCTTCCAAGCAAAATCTCGAAAAATGATTTTTTCGTTAAATTCTCTATTAAGATTTTTCATATTACTTAGATTTCCCCAACAATTACCTTATTAAATATTCTGTTTTCTCAAAACGATCCCCCTAAAAAAATTTTATTCCCAAAAATATAAATATTCTGCAGAATATGTTAATTTAGTTTAATCTTTTCCAAAAATTTTCTCAAATAAAAATTAATTTTTAAAGGAAAAGCAATCAGTCCCGCGTGTAAAAGCTCAGGATTGGGTACCTGAAAACGATGCTGAACATCCAGTATTAAAAACAGTATATCAACCAGGAAGGATTGCCCCAAATCCAACATCTGGCCGTTTATGGCCCCCTCCAGGTTATGGAGAAGAAGAAGAAATCGAAATTGGGCATGCCAACAAAGTAAAAACAATGGGGGATGATGATTGGAAACAAGGGGAAGGGGAACAATTACAAAATGGAGAAGAGAATAGTGTTGGGAATGCCCCTTGGAGTAGACAAGCTGCTGGGGGAAATGTTAAAAATGTGCAGTGGCCTCCTCCTGAGAATCAATTGGAACATGGAGAATTTGGTAGAGGAAAATTAAATGTACAATGGCCTCCCTCTGAATTTGAAGAGCAAGAACAAAAACAGGTAAATTAAGGAATGAATGAGAGTACAGTAATCTCAAAAATTAATTCCCCAAAGCCTCAGAAAACAAAATCTTATTTGTAATTCCCGAGAAGAAGGGACTTTTAAATTTATATTCGAGAGACAAATTCCGGTTTACTACTTCCTGTCAAAATAATAATTAAAAATTTAATCATTTCTTTTGCCCATTTTATTTTTTATTTATGGGCAACCCTTTTTGACCTTTTAAATATTTTTATTTTTTAATCAAAAATTTGTTTAAAAATTAATTAAAAGTAAAATGTGTTTTCTAAAGAAAAAAAGGAAGGGAGGAGCAAAATCAACAAAAATACAGAAATTTTTTTTTTAAATATTAAAATAATAGGTGGAGAGGGTTGCCCATGTGTACAGACATTTTCGAAAAATTTTTTGTAAAAATTAATAAATAAAAATTAAAAAGGCCGAGGCAATTTCCTCTCCATGGGGACGGCAAGTAGACGTTGGCAATGTTAAAAACACTCAATGGCCACCCGAAGAGAATGTTTCTGAACACGGTTTTGGCCCTGGAGGGAGATTACAAGTTCAATGGCCGCCAGAGGAAGGAATGGAGGAATTCGGGAGTCAACAGGTGGATGAAAAAAAAATAAGAAAAATTGGGAATAAATTTAGAAAAAAAACACATGGGCAACCATTTAGGTGAAAAAGTATTCCCTCTCGTTAATAGGTTCGCGCCGATAGAAAACTAAATTTCCGATTTTCGGGAATCGGGTCGGCGCGATCCCTGGTTAGCAAGTTAGTGTTTACGGTTTTTATCATTAGTTACTGACTTGATTTACATGAAAATCTAAGTGGATAGCTAAGCAAAAAATTTTTCAAAGTAAAAACCCCTAGTACTTAATTGACTTGTTCATCTAAATTTCTTCTTCAAAAATTTTCAAATCTTAAAATTAAAAAATAATGAAAAGGCTGAGGGCCGTCTACAAGCTGCTGGCAGTAATGTCCGTGGTGTACAATGGCCCCCTCCCGAAAATATATCAGAACCTGAAGCTTTCGGTGCTGGTAGGATGCAAGTTCAATGGCCACCTACAGAACAGGAAGAGCGGGAAGTTCATCAAGTGAACAATAAAATTTTTTTAATTTTTAAAAATTAAATTTTCAAAATTTTTTGTGTTATTTTGCTCCTCCCTTTCCAAAATATTTTTTTGGAAAAATATGGGAATTAAAAAATAAGTTTCAACTACATGTTGTCATATTTAGGTAGAAATTCTTCAAACTCATTTGCCTACAAAACCGCATCAGAGAGAATGGCCACCAGCTCATTATGTTGCTGCGCAAGTTGGAGGGGTTGAAGGTAAAATATTTTTTAGTCCCTCCAATAATTAAAAAATTTAGCACAATAAATCTGTTCAACTGTCCAAACAAGCAAATGAAGAATATTTTGTTTCATCGAATAATTTTATATTAAACACAAATTTTTGAAAACGGTTCAAAACAATATACATTATCTACTTTTAATTAAATTTCTTGGATGATTGTATTTTAGTTTAGAATGGAATAAATAAAGGCATTTTTTTCTAAATGATTAAAAATAGTAAAGCATAGCTGGGCTATAGCTATTTCTCTCCTTCAACTAGTACAAAAGGCCATTCGGTGGCTAGGAGCGAACCAGCATTTTCAGTAGACCGGACTGATGTGTTATTAATTACACCACGCCGACTACTGCATAGCCCTAGGAATTAAATTTACAATAATATTTTTGTCTTATTTCTCTCAAAAAATGACATTTTTCCTAAAATAATAGAAAAGAGAATTTGAAGAGGGAACATCTCCTCTCTTGTCCTATAAACATTCAAAATTTGCTCACAAATCCTCCCAAAAACTTTTATCAACTTTTCACAAATTTCAACACAATCTACATATTTTTATCAACCAATTAACAATATTCTTTCTTATATCTTCCTAATTATCTTTCTTCTCCTCTGTTTTCTCGGGGAACAACGTGCTCGTATCCAATGAGGCCAACGTCTCATATTCCTGCGAATATTTGTGCGCTAAATAAAAAGAATATTTTTATTAGAATTTCTAAGAGCTACTCTCTACCATGCTCCCCTCTGGGCACTCCAGGAGTTGGCGCTGTAGGCAAAGAAGTAACGTTGAAGAATGGGTCATCAGCTGCAACATTGCCTGTACTTTTTAGATTATCTCCGGGTTGATCAGGCCGTGGAGCGCGGGAAGAGAAGCGCAGTGAAGGGGGAACATCTCCTTCCAATTTAAGCATTTCCTGAAAATTTTTTTGTTAATTTTTGTAAATTTACAAGAAAAATTCCCACCGAAAATCCCCCAGGTCCACTATCATTAGATTTCTTTTCGATAATACTTCCACCACCTCCTCGTGCATCTGAACCCCTTTTTCGAACTATTTCCTTTCCTGGCTCGTCGAATTTCCAAGGAGTATTGAAGAAATCATTCACAAACAAAAACAGAAGACGTCCAGCATAAAAGAACAAATTGACCAATTCTTTAAGACCGTCGATTATGTTCATAACGATTTCTATAAAGGAGAAATTTTAAAAGAAAATAGAGAAAGAATAAACTAACCAACTTCAACAACCATTTTGATTATTCTGAAGGCCAACACAACAAAAAATAATTGAATGCACGTTTAATATCTGAATGGAATATATAGGAGGGATTAGATACTAAACTTGAGGCTTTTATATGTAGATTTGTTAAAGTAGGGCATTACGAGGTAGAGATGTCCAAGACCGAAAATTTTCCAAGACTCTAGACCAAGACTAGATCCAAAGACCCAGGACAAAATTAACAAGACTCAGGACACCAAATAGCCATATTTCTTCCATTTATAGCGCCGCAGGCAAAAAAAATTGAGAATTTTGGAAGGCAATCATTGTTCTTCTATTTTTGTCGGCAAATTTAGTAAATTATTTCATTTTTTGCGTTAATTTTATCATAATTTCTTTGACGCAAAAAGAAAAATATAAAAATATCCCACCTGGGCCCGTACAATAAATTCAAGGGTAACGGGTTATTTAACCCTTCCTCCCATAAATCAAAAAGGCTAAAAAAGCTTGCGCCGAAAAAACAGGGAAAAAAAGAAAAAGGAAAGGTTGCGGGTTAAAGTTGCGGGTAAAATGACTACCCTATATGGTAAGCAGGGTAGACAATTTCTTTTAAAAAAATCCTTAAAAAATACGGAAAAAATTTCAAGAATCAGAAATTTAATGGAAAAATTATAAATTTAATTTTTTAGTATAAATATTGAGAAGAACAGAAATAGAACAAGGAATAGGTGTGAAACTCTCCCCATTTTCCTCAATTATTCAAAGTTCCCGCCAATTTTCTCTGTTTACTTTAAAATTCCGTGTCTAATATCCCATTGATTGGTGAGCTAAGATGAGATTGGTTAGTGATGGTCTAATAATAAGTGTGATCGCATTGATCCGGTAGATTCAACACTGACTTTTAAATTAATTATTAAAGGGAAATCTGATTCTCGAAATTGAATCAGTTATGAAAAAACATGAATTTCGTCGATGTATTTAATATTTATCCGAAACACACACAGTCGGTCTATTAATTCAACTTGAAATTTAGATTTTTGTATCTTCATTTGTTGAACTTATTTGTGTGTTCAAGCTTCATCGCATTTTTCGCAAAGCTAAATTTCTTTACTAAGTTGAATTTAAAAAGTTTATGCCAGCTCGATGAGTTTTCTCGAAATGCGCTATAATTTACCCTAGCGTACGGTAGACAAAAGAGAGAAAGAGCTCTCGTTAAGGCCATTGAATGCCTAACCTCTACGGTGAAATAATTTGAGGCTAAAAACATTCTCTCAACATTAAATACTCTCAATACAAGTTGACTCAAAACAATCTTATTGTCGAAATTTAAGAAATTAATCAAATATAACAGAATTTATTCAACAATGTTTATAAATTACAACTAGAAATTACATATCACATACAATTAGCAAAAAATATTCCATAATAGATTAAACATACAATGTGACTATTTAGATTATATATACAATGAGGGTACAAGCAAACTATACATATATGCAGCGGGGAGGGAATTTATCGATGGATACGCAACTGGACATCTTGGATTCTTCACAGGACTATAGTTCCGGCAGCTCTGTTCCTACATCTACCTTCTTGTCCCGGCCTGGTAGCTGGTGTAGCTCGACGGTTTGGAGTATTTCGGCTTCGCCGGGGCAGGCGGCGGCGGAGGAGGCGGCTTCGGAGTAGATTGCTGTAAAAACAAAAGAATAATTAGATGATTAGAGAAGCGTTAATGTGAAAAGATTAAAACTTGCCTGAGGTGGTCGAGGTGGACCGCCGCCGAAGTGATCGTCTTCATCGTCGAGCTCAACTTGGAGTTGCCCACCACCGAGTGCTCCAGTGTTCCTGACGTCCGGCGGCACGTAGGCAGACAAGTCGACGTTACGTTCTCCCATGATGCTGTTTGCTTCCTCCTGCGGATGAGTTGAAGATGAGCGTAGATACTTTGGGATCTGACGAATTGGCCTTGCAAATCCTACGGAAAATGCATTAACTTTTATAGTATTAAAAATACTAGGTGAAGACAGTTTTCAGACATATAAAAGTCGTGAAATAATTAGCGTTATTTAAACTTCGACACGTAAACGTTCTACTGCTCAACAATTTTGTGTAAGTTTTTATTTTTATTAAAAGTTTTCGACGGGTAATTAATTCTTCTTTTAGCAATGATGCTACTTCGTGACCTGGTCGTTCATCTGATGCTTTTTGACGCCGAGTCGATGGTGCTGGTGATGTTTGTCGCAACAGCAATTCTGCTTATGGCGCAATGCTGCAAGAAGAAGAATAAAAAGAAGAAAGCAGGAAACACAAAATCGGAACCAGCGCAGGAAGCTCAACCACCTCCGCCGCCTGCAGAAGAAAAGAAGCCTGCGCCTGCAGTGGAGGGTGCCAAAAAGAAAAAGGGAGCTGGTAAAAAGGAGAAAGCCAAGGGGACTAAGAGCAAAACCGAAGAGCAACCGGCAAAGGAAGTTGTGACAGCCCAAACAGTGACGACGACTCCATCGATGCCTACAGCAACGCCTGCAGCAGCGCCAACAACAACCGCCGCTGATCCAATGAAGACCGTGCTCACGGAACAGACGATGCTTCAAATACAGAATATGCAGCTGCCTCAAGGAATGATCCCTGTGCTTCTTCCACCGACGGTGCCTGGAGGGACTCCGACTGTTATTATGATGCCTGCTAAGGGAATGCAGTCGATGGCGGCGGTGCAGTCAAAACAAGCTGTTGCTTCTGCTGTAAAAGCTCAGTCAACATCGAAAACTTCGCGTAAGAATTTTGTAGGTTTAAAATAAACAATTCTAATTTTACAGAAAAAGAACCATCGCTGTATGAGGCAATCGAGATCTCCAAGGATGACGGTGACAAAGGCGGCGGCAAGGAAAGTGTCAAGGGAAGCGTCAAGGGAAGCGTCAAAGAAAGCGCCAAAGAAAGTAGCAAAAGAAGTGAAAAGGACAGCGAAGGCAGTAAGAAGTCGAAGAAAGAGGTCGATCTTACGAAGACGGGAATGGCGGGTGTGTTTTTAATTTTTAGAGAGCTAAAACAATTTTATTTTTATTACAGATCAGGGATCATATCAAACATTAGCGGACATAGACACGAAAGGGATATTCGATAAGAAGTAACTACTGCAACAACAGAATTGATGAACAGAGGAATGTTTGGAAAGAATAAAAATTGTTTTGTGTACCCCTAAATTGCTTTTATTTAAACATCTCTGAAAGTTGTTTTCTTTGTGTTAGTATTCCCCTAAAATTTTGAGTTTGTCATTTAAACATCAAACTCGCTGTTGTTGCTTTTGTAGTCCCCAAAAACTTGAATTTGTCTATTATCTATGTATTGTCTCTAATGTTTGGTATAATTTCGGAATACTAAACAGAACGCAAATGGGTCAAACGATATGTCATTCGAAAGAGCTCGTCGAGTTGAGACGAATGGTGAAAAAATTTTCGTGCGGACTCATACAGGGGCTGAGATATAGGCCCTCGAAAATCGAAAAACCATAGGGGGGAGTAAGCTCAATTTTGGGGTGAAAAATTCGAATATGCAAATAATAGCTCATTCGAAAGAGCTCCTCGAGCTGAGTCGAATGACACCAAAATCACCAAAATCTGACTTGAATTGACAAAGCTATGATCGTTTGTTTTAGCTCCTTACCTATGGTCATTGTTGAGGTTTTTGCTGCTACGGAAGCCCCAAGTACGTCCAGAGTAAGGGAGATAGGAATAGGTTTATGTTACGGGCCCAGACCCAGAGCCCGTAGACTCCCCGCGAGGCGCGTGCCGCAAAACCCCGCGCGAAGCGCGGGGTTTTGCACAAGCGACTCGCCGACGCTCCATAGGGTTACGTTGCCATTTTGAGCCTGTTTATCTCGGCTTAGAATCAAGATCTCAGTTGATTTTGGTGTCATTCGACTAAGCTCGAGGAGCTCTTTCGAATGAGCTATTATTTGCATATTCGAATTTTTCACCCCAAAATTGAGCTTACTCCCCCCTATGGTTTTTCGATTTTCGAGGGCCTATATCTCAGCCCCTGTATGAGTCCGCACGAAAATTTTTTCACCATTCGTCTCAACTCGACGAGCTCTTTCGAATGACATATCGTTTGACCCATTTGCGTTCTGTTTAGTATTCCGAAATTTTTCCCTGTTTATTGTGTGTATATATACAGTAGTCGACATAAAGATAGGGACAAGAGTAATTGAAATAAAAATCAACTATTTCTCGGTCAAAAAATACGTTCTATATATCAATCGAAAGCTCTATTTGTATCTCAGTTGACATGTTTCTGCATTTTTCATGAAAATGAAAATTGGTTGAGATATCCGGATTAAGCCGGATATCCCAAATCCTATATCCGCGGAAAAATTTTTCGGAAAATATGTGTAAATGGAATTTGATAAAGCATATTTTTGTGAGTATTTACCACAAAACCGCTTAGAAATATCTTTTTCCGGAACGGAGATATGAATTTTTAAAAATGGCATTTTTAGGGTATTTTTGTCAAAAAAGTCATTTTTAGTCAAAAAATGCCATTTTCAAAAAATCATATCTCTGGTCCGGAAAAAGATATTTTTAAGCGGTTTTGTGGAAAATACTCAGAAAAATATGCTTTATCAAATGGGTTTGTTAGATTTTTTCCGAAAATTTTTTCCGAGGCTGTGGGATTTGGTATATCCGGTAGATCCGGATTATCTCGGCCAATTTTCATTTTCATGAAAAATGCAGAAACATGTAAACTGAGATACAAATAGAGCTTTCGATTGATATATAGAACGTATTTTTTGACCGAGAAATAGTTGATTTTTATTTCAATTACTCTTGTCCCTATCTTTATGTCGACGACTGTAAATAGTAAATTTTGTTAGTTAGTTGATAATTAAAAGTGAATTTATAATTTTGGCAACATTATTAAAAAATAAATTTGTAATCTTCAAAGTCGGTTCTTCAAAAAAAAATTTTTTTTTCAATTTTTTTATTGAGACAAAGCGTAAAAATGGAATTATTTTTCACAGAACGAATTAGTAAAAGGAGGCAATTTTCTCTCATTTTAAGCTGTTGTTGCTAATCCTCTATGGCGCAACTAGGGCAAGCAGTCGGGTATTGTGAAGGGTTGACGAGATTGTAAAAATAATTGTTATTCTAAAAATATTTATTTTCCCTCAATGAAAATTAAATTTTTTACAAAAATTTTTATTTTCCAATTTTATTTAATTATTCTGTCCTCCTTTTGTTTTAAAAATTTAATTGGGCAACCATTTTTTCAATCTTCATTTTGGTTACCCCAACAGCAATGGCAACAAAATCCTTATATGTTTGACTATCGTTAGTTTAAAAATTCTTAACAAATTAATTTAAAAAAATTTTATTTCAAGAATATGGAAATAGACAATTTATGTATCCCCCTCCAATAAATAATAATGGGCCTTCATTTTCTCGTGGTGTGGAAAGCGGATTTGAAACGTTCTTTCCCCGACATCCACCTACATCTTCACTAACTTTTAATTATCCATTTAATCCTTCAACATATTCTCTACAGAGACATTTGATCCCAGGCATTTTTGCGAATTATTTCTTTTTAAACCCAAAAAAATTAAAGGCCCTAATAATTATTACGGTTATGGAACGGCAAGTAATGTTTGGTCACCTCAAATGGGAGGATTTGGAAATTATCCATTTATGGCTAATTCACCTGTAGCTAATCAATTTCTGAGAGATTCGCTGTTCGACCGCGAGAATTTTCAGGTGGAAAAAAACAAAAATGTTTCAAAAATTTAATAAATTCAGAGCCGTGGCTGTGGTTGGGATCAGGCCCGTGGAATGTGCTCAGATCTTTTGGGAATTTGTAAGGGAGGTTGTAAAGAATTTAGAAGTCGGAATCAAATTTCCAACTTACCAGATTGTCTTTGTGTTCCTTTAGGTTATAGCTTTTTGATGGGAGAAAAACAAAAGTTTAATTAATCTTTAAATCAGAACTTTTAAATTTTTTAAATAAAAATTGTTTTTGTTTTGTAATCGTCTTTTATGTTTGTCGCGCAGGGTGTCAATTTTACCTCATTTGGGAGTCATTTGCCCCCTTTTTTACCTTATCGCCCCTTTTTTCCCCTCTTTTTTACATTGCTCCTTGGCCTTCCAAAATTCTCAAGATTTTCGCCTGAGGCGCTAAAAAGGAAAAACTCTGGCTTGTTAGCCTTCTAAAATTCTCAGATTTCGCCTACACAGCAGATATAGTTAAAACTATTAAAAAATACATATGCAGAATAATGATTTATATTTAAAAGCTTAATTATTTTTAAGTTTTTAAAATATGTAATGCATCATTGTTGTGTCCGTACTTGCAGAAAGAACATAAATGAAAATAAATAACCCATCATCGGGTTGGATGGTGACACAGTCGGTTGTGCTTTCGGTTTGGGCCCTTTCCGTGATGGTTCAATTTTCCCATCCAAACAATTTTTCTACAGCATGAACACTCGTATATAATAATCCTTTTTTTCCATTTCGCCCCCTTCTTGTGATTTGGAAAGGGACACGTTTTCTGACTATTTTTATTAATTTGATCTCAAGGGGTCTTCTGTGTAATTGATCTTGTGGGGACCCTAGTTATGCGTGCGTAACAGACTGCAATGGCTGCCTATTTTTGCTTTCTTCCTCCTCTTTTAGTGTAAGGTTCGATGCCGCTAAGGAAATTGATTTTTTGTGAGTATAAGCTTTGAGCAACAGTATAGCTATTTATTTTCTAGATTGTTATTAAATATTTTATTTATGTCAACTCCAAAGAAATTGCGTTATAGGAGTGATAAAAGTGAAGATTCTGATGAAAATTTTGAATCTAACGAAGAAGATGATAAATTTGAGGTTATTTTTAAAAACATTAAATTTAAATAAAATTAAATAAACAGCCTGCGATTGCTACATCCAGTGGTCGTTTAGTTCGTCCATCATTGGGAAATGCTTCTAAAACTGGAGGAATAAACAATGAAATTAACAATAAAGAAGGCAATGATGTTAATGTTCAGGTTCCAATGAAGCGTGTCAAAAACCATGAGAGTGATAAAGGTTTGTGAAGATTATATTTTAAATTAAATTATTATTTTTAAGCATGTGCACCAGATTTTTCAAAAATTGTCCGTTATTTGACTGCTGTACAACAAACACACAATAATTCTTTAAATCTTTTAAATGAGGAGGAAGTAAAGGTTTTTCTTTATTTCAATTATTTTTGGGGAGGGACAAAACGCGTTTACATCCTAGGGTCGTTCAAACTAGAGACCGGCGCTGGACGGGATCCCGCGCGGGATTTTGCGGGATCCCGTCCCGCAATCCCGCACTTTACTCGTTTTGCGGGATTTATCCTGTCCCACAAAGATTTTTTGAAAAATCCCGCATGCGGGATCCCGCCGGTCTCTAGTTCAAACACGGTTTGACATTCCCCATGAAATCTGTCATCTTACCAACTAAACTACAGAGATGCCTTTTATTTTCTCTTATTATTTTAATAAAGTACTAGTCGTAGGAGAAGCATTCATTTCCTTTTTTAAATCATTTTTTATCATGTTTTTTTATATCCATTAATTTAAGAATGTTCAATCTGGTAGACAAACATTGTCACAATTTTGGCAATCTAGAATGAAAACAATTTGTTCCACTTTTCAAAATAAACCAGAATTTTCTTGTTGGAAAAGAATTGACGAGTTGAGTCCTTCTTTAACTCGATGGCTGGACACACATTCAATTGGTTTGATTATTCAAGGTTCAGTCCCCAATGGAATTCAGTCTATTGGGGATGATGAAAGTATAGAAAAACCTGGTAAATTTGAATTTTTTAATTTCAATTTTTTCAAAATTAAAATTAAGCTTCAATTGAACGACAACCGTTGCCTTTTAGATTGCCTAGAAAAAGAGGAAGACCTCGAAAGGATGATTTATCAAGGACCAATAGACTTTTGGCAACTCCATTAACTGAACCAATCGAGAGAAATTGTAAATTTTTTTTGTCTTTTTTACTCACTTTAAAATTCTTTTTCAAGCTTTAACTGTAAACGAGCATTTACAATCTTTGGTGTCTAAACAAATAGAAGCAACTTCGTCAATTATTAATCAAATGAAAAGGGGTAAAGGACGTAGCACCAATAATTCGATGTCTTCTGCCTTAATTGATGGTAATGTTTTGATTTTTTTCTTATATTTTAAAATTTGTTCAAAAAATTTCTTAAACGTCAAAATTTTTAATTTTTTAAAATTTTGTAAGTGTCAATAAATTATTTTTTAGCGTCCATGTCACTTCCATCAACTTCATTTGATTCAACTATTCAAAAAACACCTCAAACTCAATTTAAAAACAATAACGCATTAAACCAAAAATCACAACAAAAATCTAAATCAACAAAAAATTCTTTTCAAAAAACAGTAAAATTGGAGGTTATTTTTAGATTTTTTTTAAATTATTTTTTAAATTTAGGTTGAAGATTTCTCTCTCCCAACTGAATTTACGCATGGAATTACTTTTCCTGTTTCAACAAATACTCCACTTTTATCTTCCAATAATGATAGAGCAAAAAATCCTAAAGCAAAAGGAGCATCAAAAAGGTTGGAATTTTAAAATTTTTAATTTATCGAATTTTTTCATGACGATTAGAGTTAGGGGCCCGGTCCAGATGATCGAGTCGGGGATTGAATTTTGGCCTGAAAAAGACGGGCGGACCGGCTCGATAAAAATGAAGCCCGAAGAAAATTACGAACGGAAAAATGAAAACCCCAACCCTAATGACGAGTATATTAATAATTTACATATGTATTTTCTTTAAAATGTTTTTAAAGATCTCATTCATCCAAAGAAATACCCAGTACAACAACAATAGAAGAAACTTTGTCTTCACCCGCAATTACCGACAAACAAAATCAACCTCAAAAAATTCAAAATGGTTCAAAATCCTCACTTTTTAAAGTTTTTAAAATATATTCTTAAAAATAAATTTATTTTTTAGAAAAAAGAAGCAGGAAGATCAAACTCAAAATCTGACACAAATGGGGGAGTTGATTTACCTGTTCCTAATGAAAAACAAATTAATATCCCTATTTTCTCTGGTCAAACATTTTCTTTTGATTATGATGTATCACCAGCTGTACAACGATTTGAAAGCGTTCAAGTAATTATTTTTTCAATGTTATTTTAAAGAATGTGTTTGATGTTTTAAAATATTTTTCCTGACGGGAAATGTGTTTTACTGAATATGGTTATTTTTTGGACTAGTTTCCATATATTCAAGGGTTAACCTTTGTATTTTTATTAATAATATTCCGAAAAACACCCTCGTTATTCTTCGCGTACAGACTTGCTGTTTGTTAATTCGGGCATATTTATTTTGTTGAATAATCTTAATTTAATAATAATTTTTTATTTTATTTAAAGGTTGTCGATATCTTCAATAATTTATTGCCATCAAAACCTTCTTCAACAAAACAAACAACTACAACATACAATTCTTTAATACCTGGCCAAAATGGTTTAGCTTCAGTCTATCAAAACAGAATTGATCATCAAAAACTTAAACAAATAAAATCTAATCGACAATTTGTCCAAACATTATTTTGTGGGGGGCCGATTGCTGCTATTGCTGTTTGTCCGCAAACTTTACCTGATGGTAAAAGTTTATTTGGAGTTTTTTGATTTCTCAAAGAAATAATTCGCAATATTGCCAATGATTGGATGTTTAAATTTAAAAAACTCCAATCTTTTGCCGAATATTGCAAAATAGAATTTTAAGTTTAATAAAACTTCTGTGACATAAGGTGCCGATTTTTGTATTTTTTTGAATTGTCGGTAAATATGTCACTACAATATTTATTTGTTTAAAATAGAATTATAATTCATTTCTAGACAATAAATAAGTATAAAACAGGGTCTGATTTTAAATAATAACTTGATATTCTCTTTATCAAAGGCTTATCAAGAAAAAAAGCTTTTCTTGGTAAACCTCAATAATATTCTAAAATGTGTGATTCTTTTGTTCAACATTAACCCCTTTGGGTACCCATATTTCTTGTTTATTTATTAGAAAATAAATTAATTTTTTTAATAATTAAATTAGTTTTTATAGGCAGAGAATTGTTTGTAGTAGCAACATTTGCTGATGAAAAATATCTTGATTGTACGCTCATTGAAGACAGCTATTCTTACCTTCAAATATGGACAACTAATGCAAAATTAACTTCTGATACTCAAACAAAGTTTATTTTTATTGGATTTTTAAAAATTAAATTTTAATTTTTAAAGCGATTCATCTCCAAAATTGGCTTTTCTTCTCCGCATTCCCAATGCAAAACAAATTTGTTCTGTTTCATGGTGTCCAAAATTAATTAAAAATGAAATTATTTCTAATGGAAAAGAGGTCTTTAATTAAATATTTTTTAAAAATTATTATAAAAATTTGAAGATGAATTTTGAACAATCTTTGGGACTTTTGGCTGTTGGTACATTTAGTGGTCGCATTCACATTTACAGGTTATTAAACTTTTTTAATTTTATTTTAAAAATTTCTGACCTCATAAAGTAAAAATAAGGTAAAAAAATTAAGGCTGATCTTAATTAGGGGTATCATTTATGCAATCAATCCAATGGCAAACCATATTTAAAAAATAAATTTAGGAATACTAAATTTTGGATAGTCTTATTATTATTTTTTCTAGTTTTCCTTCTGATTTGGATTCTCTAATAAATTCCCATCAATGTTCCTCGTCTACTTCAACTGAAAATAAAACTCCACTTATTCTCGAATCTGTCCCCCTTCTTACACTTTGTCACGCTCCTTTGCGAAATATTAAAATGGAAGCGAAAGAAGAAGGAAATGTCAAAAGGAATAGTGGTTTGTTTTCTTTCATTTTCTAGTTATGCTTCCTAAGTTTTTTAAATTCCTATTTATTGTGGTAATGAGAAACGTTGTGTTGGTTAAGTGGTTTTGTTGTGTGTTTTGTTTTAACTGCCAGTGATGAACCTGAACATTTTGATAGGAACTGCCGTCTTAATATGTACTTGAAGATTTAGGATCTCTGAGGCAGTTAAAATAAATATTTTATTTTCTTTTTTTTTAAAGAAAATTTTAAAATAATTTTTTACAAATATTTCAGCAATTTCTTCATTAAAAGAAGGCCTTGATTCAATTCCTTTACTTAAAGTACAATGGTCTCCTTTTGATGGTTCTCGACATATTGCAGCAATTTCTGCTTCATGTTTATATTTTTTTATTTTTTTTTTTAATTTAAATTTTTATTTTTTAAGGGTTTGTTTATATTTGGAGTATTTTTGGCGATTCAAATGAGATTACATTACCTCTTTGGACTTTTCCAATTGATGGATTATTGTCACCTCCAATGTCCATTGGATGGTTGGAGAAAGATAAAAGTTTGAAATTACCTAAAAAAACATTTTTAAAATTAAAAACTTGCAGTTTGTGTCTCTTACCGGAATCGACAATTTAACGTCCACAAGCTTGAGAGTCCTAGTGAGGAGACGGTAAAAATTATAGATAATAAAATTGCCTTCCCGTTCTTAAACAATTTAATTATTAAAGTAACTTTTCAATTTTTAGTCAACATATTCAACTCGTCTCGTATTAGAATGTGAGTCAGCCAAAGGTTCAGGCATCTTTTGCAATACACGCCCATTAATTTTTTCTGGTGCTATAACATTTGATTCATATTCTTTTAATTATTTGGGAACTCAACAACAGGTTATTTGTTTTAATTTTGTAGAAGAAAATATTATTTTAAAGGCACTTTGTTATTTATCTTTACAACAAAAAATTTCTGACAATGATGACAGGGTTATTGATTTTGTTATGGCTGCAAATTTGAGTAATTGGTAATTAATAAATAACAATTTTTTGACGACTACAGAAATTTTTTAGTCATCAAATTCGTATAAATTCTGCTTGTATTTGTCCAATTAGTGGAATTTGTTCATCCGTTGGAGCAGATGGAAGAATGTTTAGTTCATTAAATGGGCGTTTGGCGCCTAAAAATGGTTTTATTTAAAAATTTAAATTAAAAATTTTAATTTTTTTAAATTTAAAGTAACTGATATAGACAATTTTATGCATGGAAGGGCACTTCTTCAATTAATTTCTCATCGAAATAATCCAATAAATTATGAAGAGGATAATGCTGAAAATAAGGTTATATTTTTATTAAATAATTTTTTATATTTTTTAAACGTTTTTAGAGCACTTTTTGTTATTCACACATTGATTGTTTGGCAGAAAAATTTTTGGAAGTTAGACTTGGGGATTGTGCTATTTTGGAACAAAAAAATGTATTTTAATTTTATTTTTTGGTTTTTATTAGTTTTTAGTATTTTTAAATGATACAACCAACTAATTTTAGTTTATTAGAAATATTTTCCGTTTTTTCCTACACCCTGAAAACCTATTATTGTCTCTGAAGACCTACTTACAACTTTTTGATCAACTCGAATTTTTTTATCGGTTATTTCTTTACATTTTAATCGATGGATCTGAAGGATTAAAGGGGAAAAAAGAGGGATTAAATGGGAGTAAGAGAGAGTCTTCAGGGTGTAGGTCTAGAGAGTGTAGATTTTCAGCGGTGAACTCATAATATTTATTGGGTGAATATGTCTCCTGTTTTAGATTATTTTTTGAATGAGGATGTATTGTAAGAATGGTTAAGTTGGTTGTGTTTAGGTTTTCTAGAGTTTAGTTGAGGAACGAATGATGACGTAATTCTGTTTGATTAAAGAATGATAATTAGAAAATTGAGCTTTTTAACCCTGACGTTCCTTTTTTAAAAATTTTGAATTTCTTTATTTTTAATTCAAAAATTTATTTATTTTTTTAGGAACGTGTAAATGGCCGTTCTTTCCCCGAAACATGTGTTGATCGTCGTTTAGAATCTTTAACTGTAATAGATTGCAGTTATAATACAGTGGGGCTTACATTTTGTGGAGGTGATTCAGGCCTTGTTTTTATTGTGCCATGTACTCTTTAAATTGTGAAAATGACATATTTAATGAAAATTTTTGAAATCTTTGTTACTTAAACATATTAATTTTGTTTTTTTAGTTTGTTTATTCTTTTGTTATTTTGAATAAAAAATATTTTTAGAATAATTTTTATTTAGTTTTAATAATTAAGTTCGTAATAGGGTTTACCATTTTTGTTTTCCCTCAAAACTGAAAATTACCAAAATTTTATATTTTTAAATTTAATTCCCCTGTATTTTGATTTTTTAAATTTAAGTTAAAAATTTAGAAGAAAAATCAATTAGGCATGTACTACACATTCACTGATGGCGGCACCATCAAATTACTATCAGGACAATTTTTGTGGACTTTTCTCTATTTTTAAATTAACTAAAAGATTCGTTAGTAAATGCCAATCCCAATTTGTTTTTGTTTGAAATGTTGAAATTTAATTCTATTTGTTAATCATCTTGAATTTTTTGTCCATTATTTAATTTACCGTGGGAAAAAACAATGAAAAGCAATTACACAATATGTAAAGCGGAAATTGAATTAAGAAATAATAACTTCGCTTTCTCTCAACTTTTCTCTTTATCCATAGCCCAATCAAAGGAAATAAAAAAGAATAATTCTTAAAAAGTACAACAAAAAATTTTTAAAAGTGCATTAATTTAAATAAAATAATTGATTCTAAATAATTAAAAGGGCAAATAAAAAGGGCATTTTTAAATTTATTTTTATATTTTAAAGTAAATTAAAGATTTAAATTTAAACAAAAATTAAACAACATCCTTAAATTAAAAAAAAATATTTTTTCTGGAAATTTTTGAGTTATTTTTCATTGAGAAATTATTTTGAAAATAACGGCTGGGTGGGGGGGGGGGGGGAGGGTTTTCTCTATTTTAATTTATTTTTTGGATGCTGTGTTTGTTAAGTTTATTGGGTTTATATTTTGTTTTCTTCAATTTTACTTTAAATTCTTCTATAATACATAGCTAATTTAGTTATTTTTTTTATTTTTATAAATTTGTTTAAAAAATGTTTATTATAAAAATTATTTTTATTTCAATTTTAATAAAATTTTTAACTGCAAAAGAGGTAATTTATATTTTTATAAGAAAATGTTTTTTTTTTATTTATGTAAATATTTAATAAATTAATTTAATGGGGGAGTGAGGGGGTTGATGGTTATTGGAAATTATTTAAATATTAGAAACCGGAGGGATCGAAAAGAAAAAATTTTTTTCTTGGTTCGGGAGCTGACAACTTTATAAACATAAAATTAAAAAGAAATTTTTTTATATCTAATTAAAAAACGTTTAAATTTTTAAGAGTGTGAGGCGTTCAGACGTTGGAGGACCTTCTTCCTCAACAACCGAAGTAATAAAATAAATTAATTTAAAAAATAAAAATTAAATTTAAGAATGCTTTACCTGGTCAACCGCGAGAGGATTTTGTTATCGAATTAAATATTCAAGGACCAAGAGGGGGAGGGCGGGCAGTGAGAGAAGGGGGAAATGTTGGGGGAACTCAAACAGGTCAACAAGGATTACAACAAGAGCATCATGAAGGTGATCATCTAAACACAACTGTTACAATTCAACATATTCGTCCTCGTAGAGAACCCTGTTGTGTTATACTTTAAATTGTTTATGGAAAAATTTATTTTTTTTTAATTTTAATTTATTTTATATTTAATTTATTTAATTAAATTCAAAAATAAATTTAAAAATCAATTTTTCCTCTCCATTCAAAAATCCAATACATTAATATAGGTAGTTTAAAATTATTGAATTTTTATTCAATTTTTAAACAATAAAATTTATTCTCTAGGTACTCCTTATAAAAATTGAAGAGGAAGCTTTATTAAATCATTTTTACTTAGAGACAAATTTATTAAATTATAACAAAAAATAAAAAATAATTCTTTAATTTTTATTTAAAAATGTTTGTTGTTAAAAAAATCGAGGGTTATTTTAAATAATTTAAATAATTTAAATAATATTTATTTTTTAAAATTTAATTCTGTAAATGTTTCCCTTTAAGTTATCCTTTACTTTAAATTAAGGAAAATAAAAAAAAGTTTTATTAAATTAGTTTTTAGTTAAAGACCAGGGTGTCCCTTTTGCCTTATTTACAGGGCATTTGCCATATTTTTGTCCTTTTCGCCCTATTTTTTCCCTATTTTCTCATTTGCCATATTTTTGCCCTATTTTTACCATTTTGTAAAATTTTAAAAATTCTTCGGATTTTGTAAAAAAAATGGTAAAAATGAAGGATTATTGACGTCCTGGCCTTCCAAAATCCTCAAAATTTTTGCCTGCGGCGCTGAAAATTGGAAGAAATTCTTCGATTATGTTGCGGAGATTTGGGGATTTGTTTGTGAATCGATGGTACGTTTTAGGGGATCAAGGTTTGGATTATCTGGGGCTTAAGGGTAATTCAACCAACGATATTCGGAGATTAAAAAGGATATCCCCGATAAAACCGATTAGTCACAAGGATATTTACTGATAAAGAAATTTTTAATTGAAAAGTTCTCAATTGTATCTTGCACAGCAGTGCTGGGTATTTGCCATTTGTTGGCTCCGGCTCCGGCTCCGGGCTCCGGGGTTTCAAAATCTTGGCTCCGGCTCCGGCTCCGAGCTCCGGGGTTTCAAAACCTTGGCTCCGGCTCCGGCTCCGGGCTCCGACCTTTTAAAATCTTGGCTCCGGCTCCAGCTCCGGCTCCGGAGCCGGCGATTTTCGGAGCCGCTCCATGTTGGCTCCGGGCTCCGGGTGGAAAATCAATGAATTATTTTTCATTGGGGGATCTAGGTAGATAAGGGGGATGTCGAGTGATATAAGAGGATTAAGAGGGTTATCAACAAATTAAGCGGGATTTGGGTGGATTATCTTGTGAATTAAGCGCGATATCGGGGAATTAAGCTGGATTAAGGGGGATTTGATTTATCATTCTCATTATCACTCGCTTTTTTGCGCCGCAGGCGAAAATTTTGAAAAAATTGGAAGATCCTTAAGCCAAAAATCTTCCTTTTTTGCGCCACAGGCGAAAATTTTGAAAAATTTTACTCACAGGAGACTAAAATTAATCAATTTAAAAAATTTATCCAGCTTTATTTATTTAATAAAATGCCTTTTATAATTTATTTTCCAAAGAAAAGCAATTATTTAATCATTTTTTGTAATATTTTTCGAACCTATAACTGGATAAAACTTGGAACCTAACTCACTATCCATTCAACCACAACTACATTACAAAGGAAAGGAAAGAAAATCTTTTTTACCCGTCTCAATTTTCTCTTCCTTTTCTTTTCTCGCCTACTATCTTTGCTTACTTCTTTTTCTCTAACCCATCTTTAGGGGTGTATAGCCGGAGCCGTGGGGAATTGGAAAACCTTGGCTCCGGCTCCGGCTCCGGGCTCCGGGGTTTGAAATTCTTGGCTCCGGCTCCAGCTCCGGCTCCGGGGTTTTCAAAATCTTAGCTCCGGCTCCGGCTCCAGCTCCGCCGGAGCCGGCTCCGGAGCCGGGCTCCGGAGCTAGCTCCCGGAGCCATACCCAGCACTGTTGCACAGTCCCTGATCATAATTAGTTTAATTTAGTTTAAAATAGTGAAAAATATGCATAATAAAGCTTTCTTTTTAAAATTTCAAGTATTTTTAAGTGTTTAAAAAACAATGCCCTATTTTTTGCCCTATTTTTGACAAATTTCGCCCTATTTTTGCCATATTTTTGAGTCGCTTCGCCCTATTTTGGTGTTTTGGAAAGGGACACCCTGTTAAAGACACATTTAAATTTATTCAAAGAAATGTTTATCGTTCATTATATTTTTACAATTTTTATTTTTTCTACAATTTTGGGAGTAAATGTTGGTAATTTAGAAATATAATTAAAAAGAAAGATTTTTAAAACTGAAAAACATCCAAAAAGAGAACTTGGATTTCTATCATAAACAGCAGAGGTGGGTCGAAATTCCGACTTCCTACACCTCTGACTGTTCCGAACCACCTCTGATAAACAGTTGGATCTAGTTTTCCGAATCTCTCTTCCAATCCCTTTGGAACTGAAAGAAATTAGGCTAAGCAAATTAAATTATCATAAGGGAAATATTACCGAATAGAAATTTAAAAAAATTAAAAAAGTTAATTTAATTTATTAAAAGGGACGAAGAAATCCACAAAGAGAGGTAAATTTCTAAAAATTTATTTTGTAATTGTTGTCATTTCTTTTAAAATAACATAAAAATAAATTAATCTGGTTATTACTATAAAAATTTACATTTAATTCTTTCACTTCAATGGAAAGAAAAATTGACAAAAACTTCCTTTACTTAACCCCTTCTTGAGAAAATAATTTTAATTTCTTTCTCCCTATTTTCAAAATTTTTAGCAGGGAGGACCTCAAAGAGAGCAGGAACGTTTAACTATTGAAGCAAGAGTTCGAGACCCTGAAGAAAATAATGGAGGAGTTGTTACTCTTCAAGGGATCAATCGAGGTCATCAACAACCTGCTGAAGAAGAAACAAATTTTCGAGTAAATGTACGTGAAGATGGAGAAGGAAATGTCCGTCGGGAAGTTAATTATTTAAATATTTTTATTTTTTTTATTCGTAGTTAACCAACATTTGATCGATTTTAAATACTTTATGTTTTATAAATGAATTTTCAGAAATTTTCTTGATAAAAAAGGGAAAAGAACAAAATTAAGACAAACATAACAAAGTATTACAAAAAAAAAACAAATTTTCACAGTTTTGGGTAAAAATTATTATTTTTTTTTGATTTTTTAAAACTTATTTTCAAAACAGACATTTATGAGGATTAAATTTAATTATAAATTGAACATTAAATTAAAATTACAAAAATTTAAAATTATTTGGAATCGATCAAAAAAAAGATTGAAATTATTTACAAGTCAACTTTTACCGTAAATTTAAACGAACCCTGACTTTTTTTTAAAAAAAGCTATGCATATTTCATTTTTTTGGTAAAGCATATTTAAAAAAAACATTTTTAATTTTTAGTTTTGTTAAAAATTATTTTTCGAATTTATTTTTTTTCTAGTAGATAAAATTTAAATTTTCTTTTTTTTCTTTATTAGAATAATTAAGAGAAAATATTAAATTTAAAATAAAATTTTTTCCTCAATTTTTTAGTTTGTCTAAAAATTAAAGAAAACTTTTTAGTTTTTATAGAAATTTTGAATATATTTAAAATATTTAAATCTTAACAAAGGTTTTTTTAATATATGTAATTGTGTACATAGATTAATCTCCAAATAACCTTTTATACAGAAAGAGTTTGCAAAAGTTTAGCCACCGGGCAGGATTCGAACCTGCGACCACCTGCTAGTTGTTTCTAGGCGCTTTCGCTCACTATATGCAAGAGCTCTACCTCTGAGCTACCGGGGCATCGACTAATGCTTTCTCTTTTTCCTTTTTAGATAGTTTATCCCCCGCCTAAGCGTTTTAAATGCTGCTAGGTGAATCATCCTTACAATACCTTAAAAACAAAAATAGAAATTCAGAATTTTAGAAACTTCACAAATAAACAAAATTAAATCTTATTTAACACTTACTGACAGTCTGAATTAAGTGATAATTAAATTCGAATAATTAAATGTTTCTGGGCAAAGTTATTTTTTTATTTAATAAATAAAAAGGAAATGTTGGAAATCCCTCATTTACATTTAGGTAAATAAAAACTGGAAGTCGTTTATCCCCCTCCTTCCTTTCTCCAAGAATTCTGGCTATTTGGCCCTCCAAAATTTTTAAAATTTTCGCCCGCAGCACTGAAAAAGTAAGAAACTTGATTTATTCAAAAGGATTTTGAGGAGATATCGAGGGATTCAGAATCGAAGGATAACAAAACTTCTGATATCCCCAAGAACCCTCGATATTTAGATCCATTGATATCCCAACTCATCCCTCCAAATCCCCCCTCCCCGCATCTTCAATACTTACTACTTGGTTTGGATCACGTTTCTGGATGTTGATATCCATAATTTTTGGTTTGGATTCCGATTCGGATATCCGGGGATTTCCCAGGATCCTTAAACCTCCTAACTTTGGCAGCTATAATCTGTTTTGGTGTTAAGGCTGTGTTGTTTGTTAAGGCACCCTCCTCTTCCTCTCTCTCTCCTTTTCTGACTCCCTGATTCTCCCTGATTACCCTCTTCGTAAATAACAACCCTAATGTAAATATCTAAATTAAAAAATTGATTTTATTAACTTGATTAATAGATTATAAGGGAGAGAGAGAGAAAGAAAACTACAAAAAATAGTTAATTAAAATTGATTACCGATTTCGCAAGATTTTTTTATAAAATTAAAATATTTTATTTAAAAATTAAAAAAATTTTTTTCCATTTTATTTAAAATGTGTTAAAATTTAATTTTTATTACTTATATTTTCTATTAATATTATTTTAAATAATATAAAAAATAATATCTATTCTTTGACACATACTTAGTTACCTTTAAATTATCTTTATTTAAAGTTACCAGAAGGGATTGAAAAAAGTTTCCGGTTAAATGAAATATCGCTATTTATTAACAGGTCCTAGAATCAAAATGCCAAAAATTTCCCAGCATTAATGTACTTTTTCGGGAACGAAGAGGGCCAGAGAATAAGATGTCGGGGATTTGAGTTGGGGCTCTAATTAAAGTTAAATAAAATTTGGTAAAAGATTCTAAAATTATTTTATTTAACAATATAAATTTATATTTATTTAGTCTTTAATTTATGGAATTTTTGAATTTATCGGAATTTCTATATTTTTAAATAAAAGTAAAATTGCTTTGAAGCATTGCTTCTCTTAAGCATTGCTTCGAAATTTCAGTTTTGCTTATAATCATACCTCTATTTTTGGCCTCGCGCCACTTCTTAATTTTTATCTTTACTCGTAATCCTACTTCGTTCAGAATACGAGGTACGAGTACGAATTTTGATTCAACCATCGAAGCTGCTCTTTAGCCTTATTAATGAATGTACATATTATTTTTAGTTTGAGACTTATTTAAAAAAATGTTTATCGTTCATTATTTTCTTACAATTTTTATTTTTTCTACAATTTTGGAAATAAATGTTGGTAATTTAGAAATATTTAAAAAAATAAAAGAATTTTAAAACTGTTGAATTCTTTTGTAATTTCACAAAAACATTAAAAAAGATAAGATAAGATTGGAAATCGTACTTAGTCGATTCTTGTTTTTATATACTTTTTTTAGGATCGGAGGGTATATAAAAATATTCTAGTATTTTATTAAGCCAATGAGGAATTATTTTATGTTTCAATGATATAAATACATATGTTGAAATAGCGTGAAAATATAAAAATTATTTAATATCTCTCGTTATTTTTAAAATATATTTTGAACATGGAAATTATTTATTATAATAATTATTTTTAATTTTTATTAACAGGGATGGAAAATTCCAGAAGATGAGGTAAAAATTTTTAAAAATTAATTAGGTAATTGTAACAGTTTTTTCAGAATGATATATTTATCAAAATTTTTTTAAATTTAAAGCTTTCTCTCCAGCAGATAAAATATTATGAAATGTGTGTAAATGAGAGATCTATTATTTCAAAATATTACCCATCTTATGAAATCCCCTCTATATTTTAAAAAAATTTTGAAAATGAGAGCATTTATTCAAATTATTTTAAAATAATTTATTAATTATTTTACTTTACTAGTCGGCTAAAAACTTGCCACATCATCAACAACACCACCCACAGCCACCACCTCGACAACAACAAAATTACATTGAATTCAATGTTGTTGGTGGTAACTTAGTTCGTGTGCCGGATATTGACATGAACATTGTTGATACCTTACACCCACCACCACCTCAACAAAACCATCAGGGACAGAACAATAACAACAATAACAACAACAACACCACCAACAACAACACCAACAACCAAAACCGTACAGGAAGACATACTTGAAGAAGTATATTTTTGAAGAGAAGAATTAATTTTTTGACGGGAAGAAAATTCTTTTAGACTATGAAAATTGTAGAAACTTTATTTTTTGGGGAAAGATTTAAAAAGAAAACTTTTTTTTGACAAGATTTAACATTTATTTTAAATATATTTACATTGATTAGTTTTAGTATAAAACAAAAAATTATTTATTTATTTTTTATTTAATTAAAAAGAATTTATAGTCATTTAAACTTCTAATAAAATTTAAAAAAAAGTAGAGAAGTCCAAAAAATTTTTTGGTTTTGAAATAAACATTTTTATTGTTTCTTTTATTTTAGGTTTGAGGATTGTTGGTCTTTTAGAAAAAAATTTAATAAAAAATATTTCCGGTCTCGAACATTATATATGTTGAAAAATATTTAATTTATACGAAATTTGAAAATTAATTTTTAAACTAAAAGAAATTATTTGTCTTTTTTATAAGAATTATTGAGAAAAGAAAAATTGAAAATAAATAATATTTAAAGTTATAAATTTTAAATTAAAGACACGTCAAGATTTTAAAATTCTAACTTACCTAATTTAATTCGGCGAACATTTATTTATATTTAATTGATTTTAAAAAGGGAAATTATATATTTAAAGTTGTTATTTTAAAGTTTAAATTAATTAAAATTTAAATGTTTTTTATTGGAATTATTTTCTTTATTTTTATTATTTCTGCTACGGATTCTAAGGTATTTATTTAAATATATGTATACTATATTATATCCATAATTAGTTTTAGAGGACACTAGTCTCAAGTAAAGTTGGAAAAAAGATACTGCTATCGGCCAACCCGAGACCGAGATTGACCGATACTCAAGAACCCGATACCGATACCATCATTTTTAGCCGAGAAATGGACCGAGAATTTCTCGAGAATGAGACTAAAAAAACCGAGACCGATGTTGGAAAAAAGCCGAGAATCTCGGTATCGGTCTCGTCTTTTCAAACTCTATTCTCTAGATTAATGTTTTTGGAAATTTACTTTGTATAAATCTTATTTTTTTGTCTCGTATTAATTTTGGTATGAACTTCCAAACAGGTTGGGAGATATATATGTAGTCATCCCAATTTCAAATTAAAAATAAATTAAATAATTAATTCCTAATTATAAATATTTTTCAGTCGTCTTCAAGTTCCAGATCTTCAAGTTCTTTTCATTCATCTTCTTCTTTTCATTCACTTTCTAGCCATCCAATTCCAACCTATCCAATCCACTCCTCCTCATTTCATTCGCCTTCTCCTTCAGCCTCCTTTCATTCACCTTCGGATTCTCCTTCTCAATCCAAATCTTCATTTTTTAAGCCTTCAATGTTTTCTTCACTTTTAAGATCTAAAAAGCGTAGAACCACAACAACTACTACTACAACGGAAACTTATAGTACAACACCTAATTTTGAGGTACTAAAATTTTCTTAATAAAATAACAAAATTAAATTTATAAAAATTTTCTGTCCAACATACATATCTGGTCCATCCAAAACAAAAAACATTGCCAACTTATTAAATATTAAAATAAAATTACGCGTATTTGGAAACGGATTTTCGAAAAAAAATTAAATTACAAAAATATTCATTTTCTAAACAAAAAATAATTAAATTTGATTAATTAACAGGATTATGACAATAACACATTAACTAATAGTACAACAACACCAACTTATGGCACAACAGAAAGTGTCTTTATTTATCAAGCTTCAAATGTAGAATTTAATGCTTGTAATAAGAATAATAATTATTACTTAAATTTTATTTTGGTTGTGATATTCATAATAAGGATGCTTTGATATATATTTGAATCAGGGATGGGCTTTTTTCCGACTTCCGTCTTCCGCAGAATTCATCCTTCTTCAGTTTTTTCCATTTAACATTCCGTCTGTTACTTTTTTTTGTTCCGAGTTCTTCTTCCTTACAAATTTTAAACTGCACTAAGCCCATCCCTAGTATACAGTCAAAATATTTTTATAAAATAAATTTTTTAAATCTTTTTAATTTTTAAATCGAGGTGCATCCTCACAGAAGTAAAAAAAGGAGCTGAAAACAACCATTAATGAAAATTTTTTAAAAGCCTAAAAATAATTAAAATCTCAAATTAAAAACGGCATAATAATCTCAAATATATCTAATCAGATATCGAAAGCTTGGTGATTAACTTAGATATGTATTAAAAGCTCGATAAATACTAGCAGAAAAGGATCAAGCAAAAAACTAGAAAAATGTCTTAATCAAAACCTTCTAAACAAAACAAGACAAAAAATTTCAAAAATTAATTTTTAAACTAAAAAATATTATTTGTCTTTTTTAAAACAATTGGTAAGAAAAGGAAAATTTAAAATAAATAATAAATAAATATTTACATAAGGTTACATATAAATTTTAAATTAAATACAGGTCATGATTTTAAAATTTTAAATTTACTAATTTAATTCGGCGAACATTTATTTACCTATATTTAATTAATTTAAAAGGAAACTATAAATTTAAAGTTTTTATTTTAAAATTTAAATTATAATTATAATTATAAAATGTTTTTTATTGGAATTATTTTTCTATCTTTTATTATTTCTGCTACTGATTCCTGGGGGGTAATACTTAAATATATACATAAAAATTTAAATTTATTTAAAATATTTAAATCTTAACAAAGGTTTTTTTAATATATGTAATTGTGTACATAGATTAATCTCCAAATAACCTTTTATACAGAAAGAGTTTGCAAAAGTTTAGCCACCGGGCAGGATTCGAACCTGCGACCACCTGCTAGTTGTTTCTAGGCGCTTTCGCTCACTATATGCAAGAGCTCTACCTCTGAGCTACCGGGGCATCGACTAATGCTTTCTCTTTTTCCTTTTTAGATAGTTTATCCCCCGCCTAAGCGTTTTAAATGCTGCTAGGTGAATCATCCTTACAATACCTTAAAAACAAAAATAGAAATTCAGAATTTTAGAAACTTCACAAATAAACAAAATTAAATCTTATTTAACACTTACTGACAGTCTGAATTAAGTGATAATTAAATTCGAATAATTAAATGTTTCTGGGCAAAGTTATTTTTTTATTTAATAAATAAAAAGGAAATGTTGGAAATCCCTCATTTACATTTAGGTAAATAAAAACTGGAAGTCGTTTATCCCCCTCCTTCCTTTCTCCAAGAATTCTGGCTATTTGGCCCTCCAAAATTTTTAAAATTTTCGCCCGCAGCACTGAAAAAGTAAGAAACTTGATTTATTCAAAAGGATTTTGAGGAGATATCGAGGGATTCAGAATCGAAGGATAACAAAACTTCTGATATCCCCAAGAACCCTCGATATTTAGATCCATTGATATCCCAACTCATCCCTCCAAATCCCCCCTCCCCGCATCTTCAATACTTACTACTTGGTTTGGATCACGTTTCTGGATGTTGATATCCATAATTTTTGGTTTGGATTCCGATTCGGATATCCGGGGATTTCCCAGGATCCTTAAACCTCCTAACTTTGGCAGCTATAATCTGTTTTGGTGTTAAGGCTGTGTTGTTTGTTAAGGCACCCTCCTCTTCCTCTCTCTCTCCTTTTCTGACTCCCTGATTCTCCCTGATTACCCTCTTCGTAAATAACAACCCTAATGTAAATATCTAAATTAAAAAATTGATTTTATTAACTTGATTAATAGATTATAAGGGAGAGAGAGAGAAAGAAAACTACAAAAAATAGTTAATTAAAATTGATTACCGATTTCGCAAGATTTTTTTATAAAATTAAAATATTTTATTTAAAAATTAAAAAAATTTTTTTCCATTTTATTTAAAATGTGTTAAAATTTAATTTTTATTACTTATATTTTCTATTAATATTATTTTAAATAATATAAAAAATAATATCTATTCTTTGACACATACTTAGTTACCTTTAAATTATCTTTATTTAAAGTTACCAGAAGGGATTGAAAAAAGTTTCCGGTTAAATGAAATATCGCTATTTATTAACAGGTCCTAGAATCAAAATGCCAAAAATTTCCCAGCATTAATGTACTTTTTCGGGAACGAAGAGGGCCAGAGAATAAGATGTCGGGGATTTGAGTTGGGGCTCTAATTAAAGTTAAATAAAATTTGGTAAAAGATTCTAAAATTATTTTATTTAACAATATAAATTTATATTTATTTAGTCTTTAATTTATGGAATTTTTGAATTTATCGGAATTTCTATATTTTTAAATAAAAGTAAAATTGCTTTGAAGCATTGCTTCTCTTAAGCATTGCTTCGAAATTTCAGTTTTGCTTATAATCATACCTCTATTTTTGGCCTCGCGCCACTTCTTAATTTTTATCTTTACTCGTAATCCTACTTCGTTCAGAATACGAGGTACGAGTACGAATTTTGATTCAACCATCGAAGCTGCTCTTTAGCCTTATTAATGAATGTACATATTATTTTTAGTTTGAGACTTATTTAAAAAAATGTTTATCGTTCATTATTTTCTTACAATTTTTATTTTTTCTACAATTTTGGAAATAAATGTTGGTAATTTAGAAATATTTAAAAAAATAAAAGAATTTTAAAACTGTTGAATTCTTTTGTAATTTCACAAAAACATTAAAAAAGATAAGATAAGATTGGAAATCGTACTTAGTCGATTCTTGTTTTTATATACTTTTTTTAGGATCGGAGGGTATATAAAAATATTCTAGTATTTTATTAAGCCAATGAGGAATTATTTTATGTTTCAATGATATAAATACATATGTTGAAATAGCGTGAAAATATAAAAATTATTTAATATCTCTCGTTATTTTTAAAATATATTTTGAACATGGAAATTATTTATTATAATAATTATTTTTAATTTTTATTAACAGGGATGGAAAATTCCAGAAGATGAGGTAAAAATTTTTAAAAATTAATTAGGTAATTGTAACAGTTTTTTCAGAATGATATATTTATCAAAATTTTTTTAAATTTAAAGCTTTCTCTCCAGCAGATAAAATATTATGAAATGTGTGTAAATGAGAGATCTATTATTTCAAAATATTACCCATCTTATGAAATCCCCTCTATATTTTAAAAAAATTTTGAAAATGAGAGCATTTATTCAAATTATTTTAAAATAATTTATTAATTATTTTACTTTACTAGTCGGCTAAAAACTTGCCACATCATCAACAACACCACCCACAGCCACCACCTCGACAACAACAAAATTACATTGAATTCAATGTTGTTGGTGGTAACTTAGTTCGTGTGCCGGATATTGACATGAACATTGTTGATACCTTACACCCACCACCACCTCAACAAAACCATCAGGGACAGAACAATAACAACAATAACAACAACAACACCACCAACAACAACACCAACAACCAAAACCGTACAGGAAGACATACTTGAAGAAGTATATTTTTGAAGAGAAGAATTAATTTTTTGACGGGAAGAAAATTCTTTTAGACTATGAAAATTGTAGAAACTTTATTTTTTGGGGAAAGATTTAAAAAGAAAACTTTTTTTTGACAAGATTTAACATTTATTTTAAATATATTTACATTGATTAGTTTTAGTATAAAACAAAAAATTATTTATTTATTTTTTATTTAATTAAAAAGAATTTATAGTCATTTAAACTTCTAATAAAATTTAAAAAAAAGTAGAGAAGTCCAAAAAATTTTTTGGTTTTGAAATAAACATTTTTATTGTTTCTTTTATTTTAGGTTTGAGGATTGTTGGTCTTTTAGAAAAAAATTTAATAAAAAATATTTCCGGTCTCGAACATTATATATGTTGAAAAATATTTAATTTATACGAAATTTGAAAATTAATTTTTAAACTAAAAGAAATTATTTGTCTTTTTTATAAGAATTATTGAGAAAAGAAAAATTGAAAATAAATAATATTTAAAGTTATAAATTTTAAATTAAAGACACGTCAAGATTTTAAAATTCTAACTTACCTAATTTAATTCGGCGAACATTTATTTATATTTAATTGATTTTAAAAAGGGAAATTATATATTTAAAGTTGTTATTTTAAAGTTTAAATTAATTAAAATTTAAATGTTTTTTATTGGAATTATTTTCTTTATTTTTATTATTTCTGCTACGGATTCTAAGGTATTTATTTAAATATATGTATACTATATTATATCCATAATTAGTTTTAGAGGACACTAGTCTCAAGTAAAGTTGGAAAAAAGATACTGCTATCGGCCAACCCGAGACCGAGATTGACCGATACTCAAGAACCCGATACCGATACCATCATTTTTAGCCGAGAAATGGACCGAGAATTTCTCGAGAATGAGACTAAAAAAACCGAGACCGATGTTGGAAAAAAGCCGAGAATCTCGGTATCGGTCTCGTCTTTTCAAACTCTATTCTCTAGATTAATGTTTTTGGAAATTTACTTTGTATAAATCTTATTTTTTTGTCTCGTATTAATTTTGGTATGAACTTCCAAACAGGTTGGGAGATATATATGTAGTCATCCCAATTTCAAATTAAAAATAAATTAAATAATTAATTCCTAATTATAAATATTTTTCAGTCGTCTTCAAGTTCCAGATCTTCAAGTTCTTTTCATTCATCTTCTTCTTTTCATTCACTTTCTAGCCATCCAATTCCAACCTATCCAATCCACTCCTCCTCATTTCATTCGCCTTCTCCTTCAGCCTCCTTTCATTCACCTTCGGATTCTCCTTCTCAATCCAAATCTTCATTTTTTAAGCCTTCAATGTTTTCTTCACTTTTAAGATCTAAAAAGCGTAGAACCACAACAACTACTACTACAACGGAAACTTATAGTACAACACCTAATTTTGAGGTACTAAAATTTTCTTAATAAAATAACAAAATTAAATTTATAAAAATTTTCTGTCCAACATACATATCTGGTCCATCCAAAACAAAAAACATTGCCAACTTATTAAATATTAAAATAAAATTACGCGTATTTGGAAACGGATTTTCGAAAAAAAATTAAATTACAAAAATATTCATTTTCTAAACAAAAAATAATTAAATTTGATTAATTAACAGGATTATGACAATAACACATTAACTAATAGTACAACAACACCAACTTATGGCACAACAGAAAGTGTCTTTATTTATCAAGCTTCAAATGTAGAATTTAATGCTTGTAATAAGAATAATAATTATTACTTAAATTTTATTTTGGTTGTGATATTCATAATAAGGATGCTTTGATATATATTTGAATCAGGGATGGGCTTTTTTCCGACTTCCGTCTTCCGCAGAATTCATCCTTCTTCAGTTTTTTCCATTTAACATTCCGTCTGTTACTTTTTTTTGTTCCGAGTTCTTCTTCCTTACAAATTTTAAACTGCACTAAGCCCATCCCTAGTATACAGTCAAAATATTTTTATAAAATAAATTTTTTAAATCTTTTTAATTTTTAAATCGAGGTGCATCCTCACAGAAGTAAAAAAAGGAGCTGAAAACAACCATTAATGAAAATTTTTTAAAAGCCTAAAAATAATTAAAATCTCAAATTAAAAACGGCATAATAATCTCAAATATATCTAATCAGATATCGAAAGCTTGGTGATTAACTTAGATATGTATTAAAAGCTCGATAAATACTAGCAGAAAAGGATCAAGCAAAAAACTAGAAAAATGTCTTAATCAAAACCTTCTAAACAAAACAAGACAAAAAATTTCAAAAATTAATTTTTAAACTAAAAAATATTATTTGTCTTTTTTAAAACAATTGGTAAGAAAAGGAAAATTTAAAATAAATAATAAATAAATATTTACATAAGGTTACATATAAATTTTAAATTAAATACAGGTCATGATTTTAAAATTTTAAATTTACTAATTTAATTCGGCGAACATTTATTTACCTATATTTAATTAATTTAAAAGGAAACTATAAATTTAAAGTTTTTATTTTAAAATTTAAATTATAATTATAATTATAAAATGTTTTTTATTGGAATTATTTTTCTATCTTTTATTATTTCTGCTACTGATTCCTGGGGGGTAATACTTAAATATATACATAAAAATTTAAATTTATATAAATTTATATCCATAATTATTTTTTAGAAATTTTTTTTAGTTCAGACTTGGGTTGGCGGTTCCGAAAAAGATTTTTAGATATCCGAAAAGTTCTCAAAACTAATTTCTGGAAATTTACTTTGTAGAACTCTTATTTTTCGACTCGACTTCGTACAACGAGAACGAATTTCGGTATGAACTTCCAAAAACACTTTGAGCGACCGTCAATCACAATTTCAAATTAAAATTAAATTATTAATTAATTACTACTATTTCTTTTAGTCACACTCACACTCACACTCAAGTCACGGATCTTCAAGTTCTTTCCATTTACTTTCTAGCGACTCAATTCCAACCTATTCAATCCACTCCTCCTCCCATTCAATTTTTGATTCTCCTTCTGCCTCCTCCTACAATCTATTTGATCCTCCTCACATGGTCTACAATCCAATGGCTCCTCCTCCTCCCATGTTAAACAATCCTATGGGTCGTCCTTCTACCTCCTTCGACAATCCTCCTTCGGCTTCTTCTTCTCAAGCAAAACGTTTTTGGTTTGGAGATTTGAAACGCTTACGCCACAATCCAATGGATTCTCCTTCTAAATCAAAACCTTCTTTGTTTCGAGATTCGGGCTAAACTACAGTTTCCGGATCAGGCTCAGAATTGGACGATTTATATGTCATTCGAAAGAGCTCGTCGAGTTGAGTCGAACGACACCAAAATTATTCAGCGGAAAAAATTCTGAGCCGAGTTACAGACCTTTAAAGTTCAAAAAACCATAGGGGGGACCAAGCTGTTTTCTGGGGGTGAAAAATTCGAATATGCAAATAATAGCTCATTCGAAAGCGCTCGTCGAGCTGAGTCGAATGACACCAGAATCAACGAAATCTGGCTTGATTTGACAAAGTTATGACCGTTTGTTTTAGCCCCTTCCACAAGGGTTTCGCGGAAAAAAGTTTTTGCCGCTGCGGAGGAAGCCGGGCATGTCGAGCGGAACGACGGCCGCCGCTTCGCTACGGTCGCCGCGAGCGCAGCGAGCACGACCGCAGCGAAGCACGGCCATCGTGTAGCGAAGACCATGCCCGGCCTACCCTCCGTAGCAGCACAAAAACAGTTTTTCCAGCGAATATTCTGTTGGTCATAATTTTGTTCATAATCATCCAATCGAGCTGATTTTGGTGTCATTCGACTCAGCTTGACGAGCTCTTTCGAATGAGCTATTTTTTGTATATTCGAATTTTTCACCCCAAAAATGAGCTTACTCCCCCCTATGGTTTTTGATCATTTTGAGCCCTATATCTCGGCTCCGAATTTTTTCCGCGGAAAAATTTTGGTGCCATTCGACTCAGCTCGACGAGCTCTTTCGAATGACATATAAATCGTCCAATTCTGAGCCTGATCCGGAAACTGTAGTTAGGCCGAGATTCGAAACACAATTCTCTTGAAGACACAACAACAGATACATCAACTTATAATACAACACCTAATTTTGAGGTAAAGTATTTTTAATTTATAATTAATTTCATGAATGTTTTTATGGATAGGTACGCTAAAAGACTTTCTAAAACCTTTCCTTTTTTAAAGAAAATTTAAAAAAGATTTTAAAATTAAAGAATTTTCTTAATAAGATAGCAGAAATAAATTCTTAAAAATTTTCTGTCCGACATACCGTATTTGGTCCATTCAAAGCAAAAAATATTCACAACTTTTAAATATTAAAACACCTAAACACAAATATGTATTACTCATATTTCGAAACGGATTTTTGAAAAAAAAAAACAAAAAATAATTTGATTAATTAACAGAATAATGACAATAACATAGTAACTAATACAAGAACAGCAAAAACAACAACAGAAGCTATCTTTATTTATAAAGCTTCAGATGTCGAATTTAATGCTTGTAATAAAAATAATAATTATTATTACTTAAATTTAATTTTACTTTTGATATTCATAATAAGGATGCTTTGATTATATATATATATATATATATCAATTAGGGATGGGCTTTTCTCCGGCTTACGCAGAATTCCTCCTTTTTCACTTTTTTTGATTCAATATTCCGTCTGTTACTTCTAATTTTATTCCGTTTTCTTCTTCCTTGTGCTTTTTAAAACGAACAAAGCTTATCTCTGGTATACAATCCAAATATTTTAATAAAATTAATTTTTTAACCTTTTTAATTTTTAAAACGGGGCGCAGCCTCATTAAAAGGGAGTAAAAAAGAGCTGAAAACAACCATTAATGAGAGATTTTTTAAAAACTTAAAAATAATTAAAAACTCAAATTAAAAACGGCATAATAATCTCAAATATATTTAATCAAATATAGAAAGTTTCGTGATTAACTTTGATTTGTATGTATTAAAAGCTCGGTAATTAAAACAAAAAGGAAAAAAATCCTACAACTTAAATGTCTCAATCAAACCCTTCTTAACAAAATATGACAAAAATTTACAAAAATTAATTTTTAAACTAAAAAATTATTTGTCTTTTTTTAAACAATTAGTAAGGAAGGAAAATAAATAATAAATATTTAAAGTTAAAAATTGAAATTGAAAACACATTTTAAAATTTTAAATTTACTAATTTAATTTGGCGAACATTTATTTACCTATATTTAATTAATTTTAAAAGGAAACTATAAATTTAAAGTTTTTTTTTAATTTAAATTAAAATTAAAAAATGTTTGTAATTATTTTCTTTATTTTTATTATTTCTGTTACTGATTCCTGGGTAAAATTTAAGTATATACAGATAGGTATTCCCTTTCTCGTCTTCAATGAATTCTAAAATTATTTTTTATTAAAAAATATTTTTTTACATACCGTAAAAACTGTATTAACTACCCTGGGTAATTATTGTTTCGATCTCTCGTTGGAGGGGGTAATAAATAGAGGCGGGGTAATTAATAGAGGTTATTTTAGAAAGGCTAATTATAACTATTTTTAAGAGGGTAATTAATGTTTCAACCTTTCGCTGGAGGGGGTAACTAATACAGGCGGGGTAATTATTTGAGGGAGGGACATTAATACAGTTTTTACGGTAACTTTAAAGGGAAAAATAATTTAACAAAAACAAAAAAAGGTACTTTTCCGTTATGACGTAACCCCCTAAATTAATGTTCAAAATGTCATATATAGGGTAGAAAAAGGTGCTGAGTTGAACGGTACCACTCTTTTTTCACGGAGATGCCTGTGGACCGAGATATAGGGCTCGAAATGGTCAAAAACCATATGGTGGAGTTCGCCTCGCTTACGCCACATAGGTTTACGTTGACCATTTTGAGCTTGTTAATCTCGTCTCAAAATCAAGATTTCGAGCTGATTTTGGTGTCATTCGACTCAGCTCGAGGGGCTCTTTCGAATAAGCTATCATTCAAAAAATGGAATTTTTCACCCCAAAATTGAGCTTACTCCCCCTTATGGTTTTTGACCATTTCGAGCCCTATATCTCGGTCCACAAACATCTCCTTGAAAAAAGAGTGGTACCGTTCGACTCGGCACCTTTTTCTACTCTATATATGACATTTTGAACATTAATTTAGGGGGTTACGTCATAACGGAAAAGTACCCAAAAAAATAATGCCGAGTACAGCAATCCAAAAATTATTATTAAAAATTTCTATATTTTTAATCGTTGCTGGACTTGCATTAACAATTGCTGGATTAGAATCTCCAGCTTGGCAGGTTGTTGATATTCGGGAATTTGGAGCAGAACATCAACACGGACTTTGGTGGGATTGTACTAGAGCCAAAAAGGTTGGAGAAATTATAAAGAATTTTTTTGGAATTTCTTTTAATTTATTAAAATTTATTTTCCTCAATTTTAAATAAAAAAAATTTCAGAAAAAACGAAGGATACGGATACCAAAATCCGTATCCGTGTCCTAGTCTGGTCTAAACACAATAAGGGAAAATCATTAAATAAAGTAACTTTTCTAAATTTACTTTTCACAAAACATTTATGATTCCATTAACTAACTACCACTAAATTAATAAATTAAAATTTTTTTTTATTTTATAGGAATACTTGGAACGTATGTAAGTATTTATTTTTAAAAATTAAAATTTAATTCATCAAATAAATTTAAAGGAACAAATAATTGGTTATGCCTTTTATTTACACGTTGCGGGCACTTTTTGTTGGTTAATTGCTTTTGTTTGTGCAATTACAACAACTTATAAATTTATTAAAGAATAATAATGATTATTATTTAAATTTTATTTTGGGTTTGATATTCATAATAAGGATGATTTGATATGTAAAAATATATGAATCAGGCGTGGGCTTTTCCGACTTCTGTCTTCCGCAAAATTCCCCCTTCTTTCACTTTTTCCATTGAACATCCCGTCTGTTACTTAATTCCGTTTTCTTCTTTCTTGCAAATTTTAAATGCAAAAAGCCCATCTCTCGTATAATACAGTTAACATATTTTAATATATTTCTTTACCTTTTTAATTTTTAAATTGAGGTGCATCCTCACAAAAAGGAGTAAAAAGGAGTGGGAGTCAATCAAAAATGAGAGATTTTTTAAAAGCTTAAAAATAATTAAAATTTCATGAAAACGGCATAATAATCTCAAATATATCTACCTAATCAGATATCGAACTTTGATTTGTGTTAAAAGCTCGGTAATTCTAACAAAAAGGAAAAAAGCCTACAACTTAAGTCTTAATTAAAACTACTGAAAAACAAGACAAAATTTTTTCAAATTTTATTTAATCAAAAAATACAAGCAAATACAAATTATATACATACAAGCATTATAATACAAACAACATAGGTAACAATACAAAGGTGAGTTTTATATAAGGGAGGCAAATGTACAACATGAGAGAGGGGAAATTATTAGGAGGGTTGGAGAGATTTCTATTGGGGAAGAACATCTATGTATTTCGATCATCATCAGTCTTCCTCATCTGAAGAATGAGTCGACGGCACCTCCACTTGGCGGGGGTGGAGCGCGTCCTCCTCCTCCTCCGCCCTGCTCCCAGTCGTATGGCCTCTCTGGAATTCGGTTGTTGGTGAGGTAATCCTTGAGGATTTTCATGATCCATTTGTAGTCAGGGCGAGTGTAGAACTTCAGGCTGTCGATGTGTTTGAGCACTTGGCCGAATTCTTGAGGGCAACCGTCGATGAGACTTCTGACCGCTGCTTTCCTCGTCTCGAGGTCCATGCTGGGCAACCTTTTCTTCTTGTATTCGCCGATCTAGAAAAAGAAAAATGATTGTTTTTATTTTTTAGAGGGTTTTAGATGTGTTTACCATGTTCATGTCGCCGACATTCCCCCATGGCAGTGATCCTCTGTATATCTCGACGAGCATGTAGAACCAAGACTCCAGGTCGTCCTTGCGGGAATACTCCCTGTTGATGTGTGCTGAGATGGCTGCATAGCGTGGAGAGCCGCGGAAGTTTGAGGCCTGTCTTGGTCGACGTAGAGATCCCTAAAGAAAATTAAAGGAAAATTTCTTTTTTACTCCATAAGTTACTCACATCCTCGCGTTTGAATTTCCGCGCCATGCCAAAGTCGAGAAGATAGAGGACATCCAGCTCGTTCTCGTCCGCACGTCCAATTGCTGCGTTCGCTGGCTTGAGGTCCCGATGGAGGTAGCCGATCTCGTTGAGAGCCCTGATCGCGTTGACCATTTGCACTGAGATGCCAATTGCAGTGCCAGGTGTGAAGCGTCGACCCGGCCGCTCCTCGATCAGCTTGTCCAAGCTTTTTCCAACCAGCGCCATTCTGAAAAATGGAATTTATTTTAGATCCGCGCCCACTAAAAGTAAAATAAACTCCTTACACAATGTAGTTGAACGTGACCGATCTGCCTGCTGGGTCCATCTGTGTATCTCGTCCAATGTCGTGACACTTGGTGAAGTGTTTGCCCTCTTTGATTCCGTGCAGGTCTTGCAGAACCTGGGCCTTGAAAAAAAGTTTTTTCGCTGAAAAATAAAAGCAAAATTTAGTCTCACCTCCATGGCCAGCAATGGCGGATTGGCGTTCAACGGCTCCGTCTTGAGTGCAGCGGTCAGATTTCCGTGCGTACAGAGGTAGACTGCTCCAAACGCGCCGGCTCCTAGCTTTTTGGTAATGGTCCACTTGTTGCAGCGTTGGCCAGGTTGTAGAGTGACAAGCTGTTCCTCGCCCATGGTTGTGAAGATGAGTGTTGTCGAACAGTTGAGTTGATGAAGGGTTGATGATTGACGCAAAAAAAAACAAGGCCTTTTATAGTGTTAGGACACAATTATTGTAACCAGGGGCTTATTATAGTATAAAAGCTGTTAGCAGTGTCAGATCACTCGGATCATACTAGCCTTGCTAGTCACTGATCAGTCCTCGTCAGCTCCAACTTCAATTCAGCCGTCATAGTTTCTACAACTGATCGCGAGTTATTTTCTTCATCGACAATGGCGAACCACGGGCAGTCTCCTTCCACTTAATTTAAAAAACTTTGGCCATCGTTTAAACAACTTTTCTAGTTTTGTAACAAGAAAAAAAGCAAAAATGTTTTCTTGTTTTTAACCCCTTTTAGTTATGCTTAATTTCAACTTAGGCGCTTGTCTAGAGCTGATTTTTTTGTTTTTCTCTTATACATAATATAAAATTTTTTAAACATGCTTACCAACATTTAAATAAAAATTTTTTTATTAAACAATTCACATGCTTTTTGCTTTTTTTACTTGCACTTTCATTTTCGATAATTGATTTAACTTATAAAGAGAGGGAGAGGACATAAAAAAATTTTCTCGTGGTAGTTGGATAGAGGGGGGAGGGGGGGATGTTAAATTAATTTAAAAAAATCAAAGATTCATTTCTAATTTTAAAAAATGTTTTTTATTTATTTAATTTTTATTTTTGTTGCTTTACCTTCTTTGGATGCTGATGGGGTTATTTTGTTTTGAATTAATTATTTGAACATTCTCTTTGTTAAACTTTCGTTATAACTAGGGTTGCGCGAGGTCGAGGTTTTCGAAAAAACCGAGACCGAGGATCACCGAGACTGAAAAAGCGAGGTTCGAGGTCGAGGGTTAAATTTGAGACGAGGTCCGATTTTAAATTCATTTTGGATTAATTAAGTCTTTAATAACGAGAGTCTACTTTATAACGAAGAAACTTTAATAATTTAGAAAAAGTAATTAATTTAGAATCTTGGTAGAGAAAAATAAAATTTAAATTAAAAACAAATTTGTTAAAAAGGTCTTTATTACAGGGTCCTGAAAGGATGGAAATGAACAGAGCTCGAAGATTTGGACAAGTAAATTTATTTTGCAAATTTATTCTTTTTAAATTAAATTATAAATTTTATTTTATCTTAATCAGTCTCATTAAACATCCCCCCTTCCCTCTCTTGTTAAACGAGGATCTCTTATAATAAGATTCCTCTGACAAAATTTTATTACAATACGAAAGTCATTACGAAGAGGTGTCATATTAAAAAATTTCAATTTTATGTCCAAATCCTCGCCAAATTCTAGAACTTTAACAGGGTTAACATTTAAAAAATTAATGATTTACTAAATAAAAATAGGTAGAAGAACTAGAACAACAACTTCCACAACATCCACAGCATGAGGAACATCCTGTAGCAACTGGCACTTTAATTAATGCTGAACTGTTCGGAATCGCTCAGGAAGTACAAAATGGAGCTCCAGTTCAATCGCCAGTTGAAAATGAAGGAAATAGAGTTCAAATAGATTTCGATCATCTTAATCGACGTTTCCAAGGACATGATCATCACCGAATTCGAAATCATCGAAACATTAATCAAAGGCCTTGCTGTACTATACTTTGAAAGGAAATGAAAAAAAATTATTTTTTAATGAGTGAAATTTTGTAGAAAAATTAGATTTTATGAGGCTGCGAAAAAATCATTTACTACGAAAAAAACATTTATTTTTATCCTCACTTCTTTAAAAATTCCTCATAAATTATGAAAATTATCATTCTAGATTCTTCATATTTTAAATATCTTTTTTTATTTTTTAAATACGATTTTTTAATTGGGTTAGTAAAAAAGATTTTCAAGCATTCTGTATTATTTATTTGCTATAAAAATTTTTTTTTGTAAAGTTTGTTAATTAATTGCAACATCAGAAATATTTTACTTACCGTATTTACTCAATTAATCCCCTGGTGAATTAATATTTCGACCCATCCGTGGGATGGAAAATTATTCGAGGGAGGGGAAGTAATCGAGGGAGGGTAATTAATCAAGTAAATACGGTAAACTTACTCTAAACCTTTAAATGCTAAATACAAGTGATACACTTAATTATTAAATTTTACCGAATAACCTTAAGCAAGTTTTTATTAGATAAAACTATTTCCAAATAAATTATTTTTTGGCCCATTTAATTTCACATTAGACGCTTGTCACACACTAAAGCTGATTTTTTTGTTTTTCTCTTTTAATTTAGAATTTTTCAAACACGCTTACGAACGTTTTCATAAAAATTTTTTATTTAATTCACATGTTTTTTTGCCCTTTTTACATGCATTTAAATTTTCAATAATTGATTTATTAATTTATATAGGGAGGATATAAAAAATTTTTTCTCGGGCATGTTAATGAGGGATGTTGAGTGAATTTTAAAAAATCAAAGATTTATTTTTAATTTTTAAAAATGTTTTTTATTTATTTAATTTTTATTTTTGTTGTTTTTCCTTTTTTGGATGCTGATGAGGTTATTTTATTTAAATTAATTAAATATTCTTTATGTTATAAAAAATATAAGGGATAAATTCAAAACTAAATGTTGCCAGAAACGGTTATTTATGTATCTGAGGGGTAGTTGATAAAAAATTGGTCTATATAACGATGAGTATTCTTTTAAAACTCTTAGAAAGAGGTCAAAAATCTATAACAAGAAGTTAACACTTGATTTAAATCCAATGTGGATTAATAAGATCTCCAATAACCTAGAGTTGCCTTTTTAACAATGAAACGTTAATAATCTACTAAAGTTTATCCAGAATTTTGGCAAAACAAAAAGAAAATTTAAATTAAAAACAAATTTATCAGAAAATCTTTTTAGGGTTTGAAGAAAACGAGAAGGATTAGGCCTCAAAGACATGAACATGTAAATTTATTTTTTTAAATTAAATTATAAATTTAGTTGTCTTGTTAAAATTGAGGTCTTGTTAAAATTGAGGGGGGAGGGGGGGGGGTTCTCCTATAATGAGAGTAAATATATGTTGTGCCGAAAAAATTTTATTATAACACTAACATTAATATATCAATTCTAGAAATTGAATTTAGCTGAAAGAGGTTATTTAAGATCCGATTATATATCCAGGTCCCTTATACTTATTTACCAGAAAAAGATTAATACTTAAAAGGGTTCAAATTATTAAATAAAAATAGGCAGGACAACAAGAAGGCGAGGGACATCCACAACCTCACGAAGCATTTGGTCCTTTAATAGATGAGCAATGCTTGGGAATAACCATACTCTACAAGGAAATCAAATTGGAGCTCCAATTCAATCGCCAGTTGAAAATGAAGGAAATACATTTCAATTAGATCCTCAACAAATTACTCAACGTTTACAACAACATAATCAACAGCAAATTTTAAGTCAACAAATTCCAAGTCAACGAAATCACCAGCAAATTTTTAATCAACAGATTCAAAACAACAATCAAAGGCCTTGCTGTACTATACTTTGAAAAGAAAAGAAACTGGTTATTTTTTTGATTAGTGAAATTATATAAAAAATTAGCTCTTTATGAAGCTGCGAAAAAACATTTTTTTACCCTCACTTATTTAAAAATTCCTCATAAATTACAAAAATTATCCTTCTAAATTCTTCATATTTTTAAATTGATTTTTTAATTGTGTTATTTTTAAATAAATTTTTTTGGATATTTTGTTCATTTAAAATGTTTTATATTCAAAAAACTTAGAAATTTTTAAAATAATTTACAAAAAAATTTCAGTAGTTTAATCCATTAAAAGAGCAATTTTAATTTCAAAATTAATTATATGTAGAAATAATTAAGTTGATAGTTAAACTTTGGAATTTTTCAAAATTAAAAAAATTTTGGAATTTACACAAATGTCAGATAACACCTTTTAAATTTGTTACTACATATTTTTCATATTTTTAAACTATTTTACATATACTAAAAAAGCTTTTAATCTTCCAAGTCTTCGCCGAAACGTTTAATTCTTTTTAATATTTATTTTCATAAAATAATTTTTCAATAATTTTTTTTAGTATTTTTCTTTGGTTTGTTAACAAAAAAAAAGTAAAATATTTCTATAAAGTCACAACTTTAGACTACAAAAAAGACCAATCTATCATCACATATTACCCCAGATCAGTTTTGCAATCATTCTATTTATTTCTTTCTTTTAACGTGTTTTTCTAATAAAAAAAAAGTTTTTTTGTTTATTACTGGGACTTTTCTTTTAGCACATTAAAAATAAAAAAAAAAACATATTTTTCTAGCTATTTTAGTTTTTTACAGAAAAATAAGTTTATTATTTAATTGACAAAAATATTTAAATGAAGGATGTTTCGGCGCGTTAAAATTATAGCGTAAACTTCTCAAAATAGGTGCTTTAATTTTGAAATTTTACATCGGGTACACCCCGATGTACCGCGAGCCCAATGTACCGCCGAGCTATAACTTTGTTCAAAATTGTCGAATCCATGGCGGCCCGGTATGGTTCGATTCAGCTGGTCGAGACGCATCGAACCATACTAGGGCACAATTTTGAACAAAGTTATAGCTCGGCGGTACATTGGGCTCGCGGTACACTGGCCTGCTCCCTTTTACAACAATATTCTTGCTAATGTTATCTACCTCTGCTAAAGATTTCTTACAATTTTTGATTTTGTATAACGAAAATTATTTTTAAAAAATTTTCTTTTTTTCGAAAAATTTTCGTTCAAGTTTATTTTTTTTCATTATAACAACTTATAAATGCGCGTACCAATTTCTGTACTTTAAACATTTTTAATTTACAAAGTATAGTTACATGACACTTTAGAAACTAACGTGACATCTAACGAATTTTTTTGAATTTCTATTTAAAATAAGGTTTAAGCCCGAATCGACTCGAAACTTGAGGAAAATGTTTTTTGTATATTTTTGTAAAGGAAACGTAAAGTAGATAATAACCACTTTTTTTTACTTCAAGTAGTTGAGCAAATATAATAAATATTTACTCAATTTTACTGATAACACTTTTTGTTTTTCTTTTTAAAAATATTTATTTTTATTTAATAATTTTATTTAAAAATATTTTTCTTTAAATTTTCTGAAAAATTATATTTTTTTCAAATTTATTTTTATTTTCCCTTCCATTTCCTCCCTAAAAATAAATATAAAACCTTTTTTTCGGATTTCCCAAGCTTTGCTTAAAAAAGCAAAAAAGGTCAAAAATCGAGAATTTAACTATAAAATTTAAGCAGCAACAAAAAACTAAATCCTTTCCATCTGCTTTTTCCTTTTACTTTTCCCTGAACGGCCAATTGTTTGGGTTAAAAAGGGAAGAACAAACAAAAAAAATTTTAGGTTTAAACAAAAATAAATATTTATTACTTGAGAATTTAAATTTAAACAATCTCTGTAATAGATGTTCAAAGCAGACCTGGTCACGGATAATTATCTTGGTATCCGTATCCGCATATTTACGGCGGACACAGGCGGATACAGACGGATATCCGCAGGCATTTTGATATTATCTGTATCCATATCCGTATCCATGGGCAGGTCTGGTTCAAAGAAACAAAAACATAATTTTGTGAACTAGGAAGATAGGAACTCTAAAAAAGTCCTCAGATCCTCTTGGGATTATAAGAATTATTTTGTTTTTTTTCTTGAATAGAGAAAACCTTTTTTTAGAATTTTAAAAAATAATTTTTAATAAAATTTTTAAATAAAATTTTTTAATTGGCTATAAAATATAATTATTTTGAATATATATATATAAATTAATAAAAAGGATTTTACATTGAAAATAAAAGAGAGAAGGGAAGGATATTTGGAAAGAGATCAAATAGCGCGCGTCCTTTCATATCAATAAAAATATATATTCACATTTATTTATTCCCGTCGACTTTTTACATTTATACAATGCTCCAAATAAACTTACAAGAATTATTATTTTTTTCTCCCTTTTATTCGTCCTCAAAAATTATTTTTTTTTGTCTTTATTTATTTATTTGGAATGACTCATTCAATTAATTTAGGGAGGGAGACTGTTTAAAGTTTGGTCTCTCGATTATAAAATAAACAAACGAGAACATTAAATTTAACATAAATATAGATCAGAGCGTTATTTAATTTGTCTAAAAATTTCAAAATTTTTGGTTAATTTTTTGGACTGTTCTGATTAATAGACCAGAACAGACAATCACATTTTCGAGAAAAATAACTAACATTTGACTGGTTTTTTGGCCATAACTTTTGAAATATGGAAGAAAAAATTCTGAAATTTTTAGAGAAAATAGTTAAAATGGTTAAGAATATTTAAATAAAATTTCAGAATTTTAATTCCTTTTTTGCCTAAATATATTCAAGTTAGCGCCAAAACCTTTCCTGTGCCCAATCGTCACCAATCCTCTCATTTTATTATCAAAAAATTAAATTTTTGTTTTTATTTATCAGTCATTTTATCACAATGATGTGAGCGAAATGATGATACATATAACCTTGTTATTTATATTAATCAAATAAAAATATAATTTTATATTTATATTGTTTTCGTCATTTTTTTTATTTAATTAATGGTTACAGACCTTTTTATTATTTTTTAGTTGAAACAAAACAGGAATTAATAATTACATTATTTATATATTTTATTAAAATTATTTTCCGTTATTTTATTTTTCAAATTACATATTTCTAAATTTTAATAAACATCCCTTTGAGTTTTAACTCCAAGAATCATTCATTACGAGAGTTGTCGGTTCTGGACCAAACTGACACGAACCGAAGAACCGAGGATTTTCGGGTTGGTTCTTCGGGTCGGTTTCAAATATCCGAAGAATTTCTTGGAACCGACAACCCTATTCCTTACTCTCTCTCATTTCATTACCTTCTCTCAAAACAATCTACTAAACTTATTTTCTTTTTTGAGATTATTTTAGAAAATTAATTTTCCTAATTTTTCTTTTTATTTAGAAAAATTACCTAATATTCTTTTTAGATTTATTTTTGTTCATTTTTTTCCAAATTTATTATTCTAAATTAATTTTAATTTCCAACAAAATAATTTAAAAGTACTTGACCCTTTTTAATTATCAAATTTTTTCTTCTCGTTAAAATAAACAAATAACTAATCTCTCTTCCAAATCCCTTTCTCAATATTTTATTTTTAATATCCCATCCACTCCCCATCCCCCCCCCCTCCAAAACTCTTCCAATAAAAAATGTCCCCGTCCCTATTTTTTGACTTTTTGTTTGTTGTCCATTCAAAACCATTTATTTTTTCCCTTTTCCCCACAGTTGTCGTTGGATGATCAATATATTTTTGCAAAAATTGGAAGGGGAAGGGAAGAAGAAATACGTGATTGAAAGGAATTATTGAAGAGAATTATTTTTTGAATATTTTTTTATTTAAAAGAAAAGTTTGCGGTCAATACACGCACTTAAAATATATTTAATTCTCTTTATTTTTTTTATTAAGTGGATTAAATTTAATAGTAAGTAAATGTTTTTATTTTTTTTAATATTGAGGGAAAGCTAAATATTTAAATATTTTTTTGTTGGATTCAAAATTAAAAATAAATTAAATGTTTCTCCTAAAATGTTCGAGACAGAACTTTTAAATTTAAAATCGAGTTTAAAATTTTTTTTAATCTTTTTTTAGACACTCGCTAATATTTTGATAATTAAATACTCTATCAATTATTTTTTTAATTTTTCAATTTTATTTAAATAAAAAAGTTAATTAGAGAGCGAGATTTTCAAAAAACCTTGATCCTTGACCTTGATTTCAGTTGGGTACCTTGACCAGATTCTTGACCTTGAGTCAAGGAAAAATCAGGGAACGCTGAAAAATGCCTTGATCTGGACTCTGGATCCAGGAAAAATCAAGGTCTCGATCCAGATCCAGCCCGCTCTCTAGTGTTAACTAATTAATTATAAACACACCTCTAAATTTCATATCCTGTCTATATTTTGAAGACTATACCTGTCAAAAAATTTTTTTCAATAATTCTATGGAAATATTGTTACAATAGGAGATAAAAAGATAATACACAAACACTTGAGTTAAGATTTTACACCAAAACTTTCAAAATATTAGTGTTAACTATTTATATACGCACTTTTAGAATTTCTAATTTACACTTAACATTAAAATTTTAATTGGGAAAATTAATTTTTAAATATTTTGTAAATAAATTTTAAAAAATTTTTTAAATGAATGAAAATCAACAGCAACAGCAAAAACAACAACAAAGCATTTATAATATTCAACAACCAGAAAAAAGAGAAAAACCTCAAATTTTAAAAAAGCCAATACCCAAACCTAGAAGAAGAATAACTATTGGAAGTGGAGATAATAGAAATTTTAATTTAAATGAAAATAAAAATTTTAATCAAATAAATAATGAACAAGAACAACCACAACAAAATAATACTAAACAATTAATAACTAAAAGGCTAATAACTTTTGGAGAAAATAATAATTCTCCGGTTGGTTATTAAGGAAAATATTTTAATATTTGTTTATTTTTAAAGTTTTTGTATGTTAGTCGAACCTCACTTTTAGATAAATTAAATTAATCCTCAATTTTAAAAAGGGGTTTTAGTTTGGCTGGGCACTGGAGCTATACCGAGTCAGGATAAATCATCGTCCGACCAGAATACCGTCCACTCATTAGAGTATAAAATATCGTCTATTTCGTCTAGAGCAAAAATTCTTAAAATAAAATTTCTAGGCATACAAGTTATATGTAGGACTAATCAAGACCAATAGCCGTATTGTCGAAAGATATTATTATCTGTAAAAGTGGACGGATTTTTACTCTAAGTCTGAACGGGTTTGATTTAGGTGGTGTTTTGGCCCTCTCCCAACTAAACAATACACAGAATTTAATTAATTTCCGTTTATTTTAAATTAATTTTTAACCCCCCTCCAAGGGGTACTAAAAGTAGGATTACCGTATTTACTCTGGTAATTCCCCATGGGGATTATTGTTTCAACCCATCCCCAGGGTAGGGAATTAATAAAGACTGGGGGATTACTAGAGTAAATACGGTATATGTAATTTAATCTCATCTTTTTAATTATTTAAAAAATATTTTTATAGCCATATGCTCCTCAATTACCTAGAAAAATACTAAAATCAGGTTCTGTCCCAATATTACAACCAAAAAATCAACAAAAAATTTCCAATCAAAAAGAAAAACAATTAATTCGAGAAATTAAAAAATTAAAAATATCTCCCCCACAATTAAAACCCCAACAACAACAACAATTAAATAAAATAAATGAAACAAGGAACAAACCCCCGCGGAGGGAAAATTTTGATGGAAGAAATAAAGGTGAATTTTTAATTTAAAATTTAAAAAATAAAAAGGTATTCTGTCCGCTATTATACATAGTAATTTATTCTGTCACTTCCGCATAGGTGTTCTATTCCAAATTCTTCTGACTTGCTGAGCTAATTCCAATTTTGGAATTTTTTCCCAATTCCAGTCAATTCCTGCTATATTTTTTATTATTTAACGTTCACCACCGTTCACCTATCCATGTTTAGTCCACTGACCTATCCTTATTTTTAATTTTCACCAACGTTCCACTGTCCATTTTAGCCCGTTTCTTATTTTTAATTTAAAAAATGAAACACAAAATATTCTTAAAAAACTCTTAGTTATTATCACTTTTCTCAATTCATTCCAACAAACGCAGAATCCTTTCTATTGTCGGGAAGGGTTTTCTCAATTTTTAATTTTCCCAACGGCAGGGATCAAATCATTTACTTAAATCTATTCATTCCTATAAGAGAAGAGAAAAAGAAACCAAAAAACGTCTTACAAAAGTCTAAACTTTATTTACTCCCTATTTAATAAAATTAATTTTTCTTGCCCTCTTTTATATATAAAAAACTTTCTTTATTAATTCAAGCGAATTAGCTGGCCTATCGTTTCCCGTTCTGTAATTAATTTGGTGGCACTTTAAAGTCACTAAAAATACTAAAATAATATAAAAGAATAAATATATTAAAGATATATATAAACTATAATATAAAATAATTAAAAAAATAAATTTAGTAGTTTTGCAGAACGGTTGTATTCGAGAAGGAAGGCTTCAGCGTTTAAAATAATTCGCCAATTTTTTTGTGAAGATTTAGAAATAATTTAGGAAACTTCTCAAAGCTGATTTAATAATAGGTGCCAAAATGGACCGACTCGAACCGAAAGATCGAGTCGGGCCTAAGATATTAGACGAAAAAGACTCTTACGGCTTGACTCGAAAACGGCAATCCTATTTAATAATATCCGAGGATACCCTTTGAATTCTAAGGGAAAGCTTCAAAACTGAGCTTTTTATTAGAAAGTATAGTCATTTCACTTTTCTACTAAATAATGTCGAGAAAAAGATTGAAGGAGACCAAATTCAGAGCCAAAAAGAATTCGAAACAAAATTAATTCTTCTTTTTAAAATCTTCTCAAATTAAATTTTCTTCTTCTTTTTAAATAAGAATTTTTAAACTTAATACTAGGGTTTATAACAAAGATTTAATTTTAAAATTTTATTTTTCTTTCACGAATGATCCAAAAAAAGAGGTGAAACAAAAAGTTATATAGAATTAAAAAAGGGGTGGGCGAGAAATTTTATAGAAAAATATTTTTGTTTATTAAAAGATTGGGCGAGAGGGAGAGTTAAGGTGAATGGAGAGATTTTCTAGCTGTCAGGTGTGATTGGCCGTTTTAGATCACACTCACACACAACGGCCAGTTACTTGTTTAGGCCCAAACAATTCAGCTTCTTCTCTTTTTTAAGTGGGCAATTAAAAATATTTTTTATATAGCTATTTAATTCCTAAGGCTGGCAATACATCTTCATCAGCTGCTCTAATTTTCACTTTTTTCTTAAAAACAATTTTAATAGCCTTGTTATTGTCTAAAGGCTTAATTACCTAAGTACAAAGTCTATTTGTACTTTTAATTTTTTAACATTTTTAATTAATGTTAATTATATATTTAATTATTTTTAATTATTTCCAAATCCATTTCCCTTAATACAATTAGCTATTTATTTTTTCCCATTATTTTGTATTTATTTTTTCATTATTTTGATGACTCTGGCTTCTTGGCCTTCCAAAATTTCCAAATTTTATTATTTTTTAATTATTTAAATTTTTTCTATTTTTACTCTTTATTTTTAATTAATATTAATATTTCAATTAATATTTTAATATTTTTATTATTCATCATTAATTAAATTAACAAATCCATTTCCTTCAATTATTCTCTAATATTTCTTAATAGGGAATCCCACAGTTCTCCGGGCCCCAAAAAAATAAAATCATTAAAAGGGAACGACTATAAGGATACAAAAGAAAGAATTTAAAAAATGGTTGCCAACTCTAAATTTTTGAAAAGTAATTTAAAAAAGAAATTAAATGAAAGAGGAGTTAAAGTTGGCATTTAAAAAAAAATATTAGTAAAGATTATTTAAATTTTAATTTCCTAACAAAATATTTTCCTTTTTCTTTTTTCCTACCAAAGAGCTTCGGTTACCTCAATTCCAAGCTCAATCTCTTCTTCATCAGCATCATCATCATCATCTTCTTCTTCTTCCTCTTCTTTCTTTTCTTCTATTCCTTCTTCAATTTTTTCTTCACCTTTAATTTCTTCCTTTTCTTCCTCCTTCTTTTCTCCAAATACATCCTCCCAGCTTTCCTCCACATAGGATGGTTCACCTCTGCCCCTTCCTATCTCTTCCTCCTCCTCTTCATCTTCTTCTTCTACATTCAAAATTCCTTCTCTTTCCAATTCTTCTTCTAGGTCTGCCTCCCATCCTTCCATTAGATTCAGCTCTCCAATCATCTCATCCAACTCCAAAAGACGGATACGAGGGCACATCTTTATAAAAAATATTGATTAATTTCAAAAATAATTAATCAATAATTTATCTGATTAATGTTAAAAATTAATCAAATTTAATTTTTATTTTGTTTATTTATTTATTTATTTATTTTAGTGCGCCTCCATTTTACTCAAAATATTAAAAAAAAGTTATTTTTTGGGGGGTTTTCCTTTTTCAATTTTTATTTTTAATTTTTATTTTATCTTTTATTACTCTTTTATTACTCTAATCTACTTATTTTATTTACACTATATACAAATTTTCTCGCCCTCTAATGTCGGCCTACGATGGGGGAGATCAACCTCCCTAATCGGGTCGACTCTTGGGTTCTAATTGTCTCGTTAGAACCTCGGCGAGGGAAATAATTGGTTCTCTGCCTCCGCGGCGCGATCGATGCCAACTCGACCGCATCTTGGGACCTAGTGCTCCTTCGAGAACGCTCTCCACGTTGAGGAGCAGTACGAGAACCTCTTCCCAAAATTACCAGAATTGAAGACCAAACGGGGAAAATTAAATAAACGGTGAGCAAAGGAATACCAACTTCTCGTAAAAATAAGAAGGTGGCGTACAAGCAGCTGAGGGTCTTCCACCATTCTACAATGAAATACCATTTGCTCCAGAGCCAATCAGTGGCTACCTGTCTAAGTCCCCCAGGTAATGCCCCAATGGCTATGGCTCTGTCGGACTCTTCCGATTTAGCTGTAGCCTTCCAAGTTTCATATTGCGTTAACTCATTTACATGCACAAAAACAGGTTCCTCCGTACGATTTCGGAGGATCCATTCATGAAACACAATCGGAGAGACACTCATGTCGGGTGCTGTCGCATTATCATAAAAAACGTGGATTTTCGACTGGTCCACCTTTTCCCAAACTCCAGTTTCAGTATTAATTCGAATCCAGTGATCGGGGTCGACTTCAAAATAACGAAGACGATAACGTTCACAATCAGCTCGGATTGACGATTCACTCAAAATTCTTAACTCGGGATCCAAAAATCCTAATTGAGTTCGATTCAATAACGTAACTTCGACAGGAATATATTTATAACAACTCGGAACCGGGCGGAATTTCAAATTTTTAACATCGAGCGGGACACACGAGAAGACTTCGGCTGTATCGTCATTTAACCAAGTAGCGACTAAATTCTTTTTATGAAAAGCCTGACGAACATGATAAGTAGGATTATCATGTCGAATGGTTTGCTGTTGGCATTTCTCTTCGATTAATTTATCATAAAATGCCTTAAGAGCAAACTCAGTAGCGGTCAATTCCGCTGCCAATTGTTCCTCGTCGACTGAACGTTTACCCCTATCAGTAAATAATCTTATAAAGGCGGACTCCTCAATAGCAAAACCCTGTTCCGATTTACGAATTGTTCGACCATTACAAGCAACGTCACGTTCGGCTGTGCTAGTAAAGGACAAAGCAACCTCTTTCGAAGAAGAAACCCAAATTACTCGAGTATCACCGGAGCGACTATAATCTCCGTCCCACCGACCCAAATAATCATAATTGCAACTTTTGCAATTTTTTGTCTCACATTGTGAGTCCCAGATAATACTAGAATTATCTGGAAGCGCACAAAAATCAGTCACATAGTGACACTTTTCTACCTCATAAAGAGGGGAAAACAATTTTAATGACTGAGGGTCATAATGAATAGTTGTGGGCTGTAAGTGGCAATTAATTGCCGAGGATTCTTTTGCTCCTCCGAAAAGTGAAGCAAATCTTCCAGGAAAATCTACTTTCAAAATTTCTTCAGTCTTCCACAACCCATCTTTTTTAATCATTTCTTTTTTATTATGGGGGCAAATTTTATTTTCCACCATTTTTAAACACTCTTCCTTAGAAACGACCAAGAGTCTTTGCTCTAATTCAACAAATTTATCTCCAAGTAGATTAGAGTAATAAACCTCTCGCGTATATTTGGCAGAACAAATATATGCGTCGATTACTTGAGGCTGAACGACCTGGGAAAATGTTTCAAAAGAAAAGGGTTTCCACTTATAAAAGCCTTTTCTACAAAAAGTCGCATTATCTTTATTAGGGAACCGCCAAAGTGCTCTAGACTGTTTGGCACACCAATAAACAGGTTCCCCGCTTATTTCATGTCCGGTATCTTTTCTCCTAACTCTATCTTGTTCCGAGTGACTTTCTTGGAACTTTCGAGTTAGATATGGAGACGCACTAACTCTATAGCGGACCCTTCGACCTGCGGGAGTACTTACTTGCGTTTTAGTAACCAAGGCCGAACCAAAGCCAATAAAACACATCAACAAAACAAAAATCATCAGCATTGCACCAACATTTTTAATTAAAGAGCCAGACATATTTTTTGTTGTTCGATTAGCTGTAGGTTTTGGTGCTGGTTGAGGAATTGCTGGTTGAGAAATACGATTAATTAATTCGCGAAGTCGTTGTTCCAAAGACGGACGTTCGACCTGTTGATTTAATAATTGCGGTTGTTGAGGCTGTTGTTGTAGCGGTACTTGAAAGGAAACAATATTATTTGATGACGCAACTGAAGTAGATGGCTGATCAGGGTCGCGCAAAAATTTAGCACGAACTTCTCGCAAATTCGCTGTGCTGCCATTAAAAGATAAGTAGCCAGTATTGAAACTCTCAGCCAAATTTCTAAATTGTTCATCATATTTTCTTCTTTCGACATCTACTTTATCTTCGCGATGAACAAGAGTTATACGAATTGGTGTCCCATTACATCGCCAAAATTGTAAGGAATTTGTCAGCGATGACATAATTTCTTCGTCTGGGTGAATAACCACAAAAAGATCACGCGCCTTGATGCCAAAATATATTATTTTGTGTAGATCTCTTTCTCCGTCGAAATAGACTAGGCGGCAATCTTCTTTTCTTCCCCAGCCTTCAATAGATTGAATTGACATATCCGCCGCCACAATTATTGGAGCGTCAATTAAATAGAGTTGTCCGGTTCCTTGAATTCCCAAAAACTTCTTTCTAGTCAGTACTTTGGACAACATTTCGGTGATAAATTTTAACCATTCATTCAATGCTGGTATAGGCGTGTCGGGGGGTAGCTTCAATTTTATTGAGCCCGACCAATGATTATTGTAGAGACTTCGAAAAACTTTACAGTGATGTCCCTTTAGTGCTATGATGTCAACGAGAAATTTCATTCGAAAGGATTTAGTTGGCGCTTCTTTTATGTGCTGCCAAAATTTTAACATTTTAAACATAGCCGATTCGTTGGGAGCAAAAAGCTGATTAGTGACGGCTACCCAAACTTCTTTAGAGCCGAATTTTTGCCGCGAGAACCAATTAAATATCAGAAGATGGGCCAAAGTTGTCATAATTGGATAAATGACTTGAATCGGTAGCGGCCGAGAATGTGCTGTACGACTTGCAGTTGTAAATGGTTGACAACCCTCATGACCCTTGCCCTCACATCTAGTGAATATGTCGTAGGACCAAACGTTGTTTTCCATTTCGACGTCTGGTGCTCCCCACATTTCTTTAACACTCATATTATATTCACGTCGTTCTTGTCGAACAGCTCTGTCGACCCAATCTAATTGGTGCTGGCGTGGGCATCTTTCATGTTTGTTTAATTCATAGCGGCCTTGATATCTTCTTAATGCTCGTTCTTCTATTTTTCGAAATTTTTGCCGCTTCAATTCAGCGTTACTTCGGGCAACCATTTTCATTCTAGCTTCATTACTAGCATTTGCTTCTCCCATAGCCTTGAAGTACATGTTGACCCCATTTTGCAAAAAAATCCGTGTACCCTTTCCTTTTCTTTCCATGGGGCGTCTCGGAATTTTATATTTGTTTAGCCAATTAAATGGAGTACTTTTGCGCCAAGGATAGGTTCTTCGTGCTACTTCGTTATTATTATTATTATTATTATTATTAATTTTTTCGTCTTCACTCTTTTTTGCTTCTTTATTTTCAACTTCTTTCGGTATTTCTTGAGCCAGATTTACCTCTAAAATTTCAATCTCATCATCGTCTAACAGACTAATGAGAGAAATTGTTTCTTCTTTGTCTTCATCTTTAGATTCTTCCTCGAGTACCGAAGATTCATTGGTGGCGGACAAAACCACATTTACAGAAATTGGCTCAGTTGTAGCCTTTCTTGGTCGGGCGTATGCAGGAAATGGTCCCACATCCTCATCTTCCGAGGAACTAACTTCTTTTTCAATATTTTTGTCCAACATTTGGGGTTGTTTTCCGAGCGGTGGTGGATCTAAAATTTCCAAATTATAAATTTGGTTTATACTTCTATTGAAAATTTTTCCATTTATTTTCAATTTTACTGTACGGACAAGCCCATCCCGACCTTTACGGAGCTCAATAATACGTCCGAGACTCCATAGAGGTCGGGGAAGGTTGTCTTCTACAATTACCACACTACCGACCACCGGTTCCTTGCCAGATCCTTTACCCCTATTTTCCCTTCGTTCACGTAACGAGAGAAGGTATTGCGACTTCCAGATTTCCCACATTTTATTTAATTTATTATTTACAACTCTAATTTGTTTTAACCCTTGCTCTCTATTTAATTCTTCTTCATAATCAGAATCTTCTCCTAAATTCGCGAAATTAATTTCGGGGGAGGACTGGACCAAAAAATCAATTGGTCGAAGAGAACGGACAGGCTCTTCCTCCGACTGGTAAGTAAGAGGTCTACTATTTACCATTGCTTCGAGCTCGATAAACAAAGTTTCGAGCTCAGCATGGTCCAATAATTGCCTTCCAATACTCCTTCTCATGGAGTTTTTGACCACACGAATCATTCTCTCCCAAATACCCCCCTCGCGAGGGTTATGTGGGGTAGTGAAACGCCATTGGGTTCCTTTATGTGCGACCCAATCTTGTACCTCCTGGCTACACCAGGTCTCTTTACTCAATTTTTTAACTATTTTTGCTCCAAATTGAAAGTTAGTAGCATTATCTGAAAAAATAATGTCGGGAATTCCCCTTCGAGCAATAAATTTTCTATATGCTTGAAGGAAGGAATTTCCAGACAAACTATAACTCATTTCCAAATGAATTGCCCTTACTACCATACAAGTGAATAGGGCCCCATAAACCTTATCCGGTTTATTTTGTATTTTTACCAGTAGGGGACCAAAATAATCTACTCCAACTTTACTAAAGGGGCGAGCAACATTGACTCTTTCCTTTGGCAAAAGGTCAAATCTTTTATGGGCATAAGCCTGCAAGCCATATTTTCGGCAAATTAGACAACCGTGCCGAGAAGATCGAAGCACTTCTCGCACAACTCGACGACCTTGAGGTAGCCAA